CAATGGGATGCTCCTGAACATGATGATGATGAGCGACGAGAACCACCGCGACATCTATGTCAGCACGGTGGCCGTGCCGCCCGCGGGCCGCTGCGCCGCCTGCCAGGACGCCGGCCGAGCGCACCCAGGTGAGCGCCGGGGCCCCGGGGTGCGCCTGTGCCAGCGCCGGCGCGGCTGCCCGGGGCCCGCGGTGAGCCCGGTGCTGTGTGTCACTGCAGGCGACCCGAGCACGCACTGCCTGCAGCACGGCTTCATGCTGCACACCAAGTACCAGGTGGTCTACCCCTTCCCCACCTTCCAGCCCGCCTTTCAGCTCAAGAAGGACCACGTGGTCCTGCTGAACACCAGCTACTCCCTGGTGGCCTGCGCTGTCTCCGTGCACTCGGCAGGTAGGCCCGGGTCCCAGAGATGCCACCCCACGTGGCAGCCATTGCTGCCCTCCCACAGCACCGCCAGGCTGGGCTACTCCCCACCCCACAGCTCAGATCAGGCGACCGAGGCCTAGAGAGAGCAAGATGACTCTCGGCCAAAGTCACAGAGCGAGAGGGCAGACCCCTTCCCCTGCGGTGCTGTCTTCTAGAATGTTGCTCAGGGCTGGGATGTTCCAGGCTTGCCTTGCCCACCGTGGGTGCCTCTACTAGCACTTGAAATATGCCTCATGCAAGGTGGATGCTGAGTATTTCTTTTTTCTTTTTTGAACTCTGGGACTGGGTGCTATCCCTCAGATTTTCTGAGTGGTTTATTGGAGATAAAGTGTCTCACAGTTTCCTTCCCAGGCTGGCTTTGAACCTCGGTCCTCAGATCTCAGTCTCCTGAGTAGCTAGGATGACAGGCATGAGCCACTGCGCCCAGCTAAGCATTTCTTTTAAATAATACAATCTAGCCACTGGCTTTAGTGTTCTTTCTTCCTTTCTTTTTTTCTTGCTGATCCTGAGGCTTGAACTCAGGGCCTGGGCACTGTCTCTGAGCTCTTTTGTGCAAGGCTAGTGCTCTACTGTTGAACCACAGTGTTACTTCTGGCCTTTTCTGTGATTTAGTTGGAGATAAGAGTCTCACAGACATTCCTGTCCAGGCTGGCTTTGAACGGTGGATCTTCAGATCTCAGCCTCCTTAGTAGCTAGGATTTACAGGCGTGAGCCACCAGCACCTGCATGTGTTATCATTTCTTTAAAAGGTATAGAGGGGGTGGTGAGTACAGGCTGGGTAAAGTGGCACACACCTGTAACTCCAGCTGCTCAGATGGTAGACCTAGGAGAATTGCATTCTGAGGCTAGCCCTGAGGTGGTGGGGGGCAGGGGAGCTTGAGATCCTATGTGAGGAATAAACCAGGCCAGGTGCCGTGCTTCACACCCATAATTCTCATCACTTAGGGGCTGAAATAGGAGGATCGTGATTCAGAGCCAGCCTGGGCCGCAAAGTCCATGTGGCTTTTACCGTCAGTTAATCATTAGAAGGTCAGGTCTGGAGGCATGGCTCAAGTGGTAAAGCAAAAAAAAAAAAAAGCAGAGTGTGAGGTCCTGGGTTCAAGTGCGAGTCTCAGCACAGAAAGAAAGAGAAAGAGAGAGAAAGACAGACAGACGAACGGGTGGATGCTGGGCGAGGTGTTGGGGTGGCTGGGTGGGGACATGGCCTGGTGTGCGGGACCGCCCGGGATGCTGGGGCACTGCCCAGGTGTGCATTGACGGTAAGGAGTGTGGGGACGCGTGGCGGGCCGGCCGGGCCGTGGCATCGGTGTGCGCATGCGCGTGCAGAGCGTCCCCACTCCTGTGTACACACCGCACACTACACCCCGACGGCAGAGGGCGGAGCCCGGGACGAGCGTGGGCACCCGACCGCTCACGCGGGCGCCGTCCCGCCCAGGCTGCCCGCGCCCCGGCCCGGCCCGGCCCCAGGCCCAGCTCCGGGTGTCCCCCCTACCGCCTGGGCGCGGCTTCCCTGAGCCCCCATCCGGTCCCGCGCTGCTTGGCGGTCACGTGTGTGCGGGCGTGGGAGCATTTACTCCGTCCGCACTTGCGAGTGCCGGGTGTGCCAAAGCACTTGCGAGTGCCCATGTGTATGCTGGTATTCATGTTTACTGCGCATGCGCCGCGTGTTCAGCGCCCCTCCCCCTCGCGCTGCACCCACACAGTCCAGAGGACCGGGACTCCTGGGTGGGAGGCGGAGCCATCCGGACCTGCCCTCGCTGACTCCGCCCCCGCCCTCCACTGGCCCCGCCCCTGCCCTCCGCTGACCCCGCCCCCTGCGCTGACTCTGCCCTCTGCTGACCCCGCCCCCTAACCTCGCTGACCCCGCCCCCTGCGCTGACTCTGCCCTCTGATGACCCCGCCCCCTGCACCCCGCTAACCCCGCCCCCTGCGCCCACTCTGCCCTCTGCTGACCCCGCCCGTGCGCTGACTCTGCTCTCTGCTGACCCCGCCCCCCGTGCCGCGCTGACCCCGCCCCCCGCGCCGCGCTGACCCCGCCCCCTGCGCTGACTCTGCCCTCTGCTGACCCCGCCCCCTGCGCTGACTGCCCTCCGCTGACCCCGCCCCCTGCGCCGCGCTGACCCCGCCCCCTCGCCCTCTCGTTGCAGGAGACGGCAGCTTCTGCCAAATTCTGTATGACCACAGAGCCTCGCCCCCCGCCCCGGCCGCCCCCCCGGGGCCCCCCAGCCCCGAGTCGCCCCAAACCCTGCCCAGCCCCGAAGCGGCCCCAGCCCCGCCCCCCGGGGTCCCTGAACCCTCGCCCGCCATCGCCAAAGCCAAGGAGTTTGTGGCCGACATCTTCCGCCGGGCCAAGGAGGCCAAGGGGGGCACGGCCCCCGAGCCGGCGCGGCCGCCCTCCAGCCCCGGCCCCTCGGGCAGCCGCGGCCGCGCCCCGTCGGAGCCCCCGGCCCCGGGCGGGGAGGGGGGGCCCCGGGACAGCGACCCCGCGCCCGAGGCGCCCGCGCCCGAGCCGGGCTACGTCAACTACACCAAGCTGCACTACGTGCTGGAGTCCGGGGAAGGCGGGGAGGCCGGCCACGGTGAGCGGGGCCCCGGGGCGGGCGGCCGGGGCGGGGGGGGGGGGGCGCCCGTACGACCCCCGTCCCGCGCCCCAGAGTTCCAGGACGACAAGATCTCCCTGCCCTTCGTGGTGACCGATCTCCGCGGCCGGCACCTGCGGCCCATGCGGGAGCGGACGGCCGCCCAGGTGGGCATGGGGGGGAGAGGTGGCGGGCGGCAGTGCTGGGGCGTGGGGGACCCCGTGACCCCTGACCCCGCGCCCCCACCTCAGGGCCAGTGTCTGACGGTGGAGCAGCTCACGCTGGACTTCGAGTATGTCATCAACGAGGTCATCCGCCACGACGCCACCTGGGGCCACCAGTTCTGCTCCTTCAGTGACTACGACATCGTCATTCTGGAGGTGCAGCCGGCGTGGCCCCGCGCGCGTGTGCGCGCGCGCATGTGTGTGTGCATGCGCGCGCGTGCGTGCCACGGGAGCCACTGAGACTGTCTCCCCCAATCCCCAAAACCAGGTCTGCCCAGAAACCAACCAGGTCCTCATCAACATCGGCCTGCTGCTCCTGGCCTTCCCCGCGCCCATCAAGGAGGGGCAGCTCCGGTGAGTGGCCCTAACCCCACACACCAGGCCGGGCTGGGCGGCTCACACCTATAATCCCACCTGCTCAGGAGATCCGAGGACGGTGGTGCCAAGCCAGCTGGGGTGGGAAAGTCCATGAGATCTTTCTTGAGTGAATCACCAAAAAGCAGGACGTGGCGCTGTGGCTCAAGTGGTAGAGCGCCAGTTTTGTGTGCGAAAGGTCAGGGACAGTGCCTAGGCCCCGAGTTCAAACAAAAACCTCTTCTGTGTGGGCCCACGCTCAGGGACTCAGTGCTCCAACCGCAGCCTCTCCCCCCCCCCCCCTCCGCAGACCAAAGACCTACCACACCAGCCTCAAGGTGGCCTGGGATCTCAACACGGGCATCTTCGAGACCGTCAGCGTGGGTGACCTCACGGAGGTCAAAGGGCAGACCAGGTGAGGCTGGGGCCGGGAGGCGGCGGACCTGGGGTTACCGCGCGCCGCTGACCCCCACCCCCACCCCAGTGGCAGCGTGTGGAGCTCGTACCGCAAGAGCTGCGTGGACATGGTCATGAAGTGGCTGGTGCCCGAGGGCAGCGGCCGCTACGTCAACAGGATGACCAACGAGGCGCTGCACAAAGGTGGGCGGCCGGGCGGGGGAGGGCGGCGGCGGCGGCGGGCTGAGGGCGGAGGGCTCCCCGGGCTCCCGGCCCGGCCGCCGCGGGGGCTGAGGGCCATCACCCGGTTCCCGCAGGGTGCTCGCTGAAGGTGCTGGCGGACAGCGAGCGGTACACGTGGATCGTGCTGTGAGGGTCCCCGGGCCCGACTCCAACTACCTCCGAGCCGAGCCCCGCCGCCGCCGCCGGGGAAGCTGCGGGAAGGCCCCGCGGGCCAAGCCTGGTGTTCCGCGTCGCATTTTTATTTATGCCTATTTAAGTTGCGGGGTGCCGAGGGGTGCGCCCGCCTTCCCACCGCCCCCCGCGCTGGGCGCCACCGCCCTGCGCATGCGCCCCTCCTCAGCGCCAGGGCGGGCACTGCCCCGGGAGAGCCCCGGCTCCCCCAGCCGCCCCCCTGCCGACCCCCCCCTCCCTCCCTCCCCCCCCCCCCCCCCCGCACTCCCCCGTCCCATTCCTGTAATAAATGCTTTATTTCCGAGTGCGCCTTGCCGAGGCCCTGCAGGAGCTGCACATCGTGTAGACGGTGCCTGCCGTGTAGACAGACACACAGCGGGTGCACGCCGCACAGACAGCGTGCACCCACCCCATAGACAGCGCACGCAGCAGGCGCACGCCGCGCAGACAGCGTATACCCCAGAGACAGCGCACGCCACGTACAGACACGTAGCGGGCGCACGCCGCGCAGACAGCGTACACCCCAGAGACAGCGCACGCCACGTACAGACACGTAGCGGGCGCACGCCGCGCAGACAGCGTACACCTCAGAGACAGTGCACGCCGCGTAGACAGCGCACACCACGTAGACAGCGCAGTTTATTGTTTAAGAAAGACTACAAAAGGTAGAAAACCGCCCTGCACACTAGACTAGCACACGCGACACGGCGCGGGCCGCCCCGAAGCTGCAGCACGCCAGCACACAAAATAGTGATTTTATACAATAGTCTTTTTTTTTCCTTTTTGTGATTTTTTTTTTCTGTTCGTTTTTTTTCTTTTTTCCTTTTGCCATAAACATTTATCTATCTCACAGGTTGAAACACTGAGAAAACCGGAACAGATAAGGCCATGATGGTAGGGGGGAGGGAAACCAAGTTACCGACTCCGCTCACACGCGGGCACGAGTCCACTAAAAAACAAAAAAATCAGGGGTTCACGGCATGGCACGGAGGGGCGGGCGCCGGCTGCACCCCCAGCCCGGCTGCTGCTTTCTTTGGAAGCTGGAGGCCCTGCCCCTCCGGTGCCCGGCGGGGCCAGCCACAGCCAAGATGCCACACCCTCAGCTTTAATTGCACTTAGACCGGGAAGGGGGAAGCATGGGGGGGGGGCTGCTGCTGACTGGGGGGATCCGGGGTCGCGGCCCCTCCCCCGCCCACCTGCGCCTGCCCTGGGCATGGCGGGCCAGGGCAGGCTGTGCAAAGCCAGCGAGCGGAATAAGTTATTAGTTCCACGGGGGACCGAGTTCCACGGGGGCGCGCCTGCTGCCCCGGGGGCGGGGGAGGGGCGGGGCTGCGGGGGGCCTTAAGGCACATCTTTTTGTGTTGGGGTTCTGCGGCCAGTGATTGTGCACACCCCGCGTGGGGGGGCCATGCCTTCGCTGTCGCCCCGGCTCCGCGCCCCGGCCGGGGCAGGAGGGGTGACAGCGCTGCGGCGGAAGCTGTGAGGGGCCGGGGCGTGGGGGGCACGGGGGGCGGGCGGAGAGGCGGGGCCGCGGCCTCAGCTGGACGGCAGTGCCTCCACGAAGAGGCCGCGCGCGTCGGTGCGCGCCAGCTTGGCCGGGGGCTCCAGGGCCTCGGGGCCCAGCGCCGGTGACTCGCCGCCCGCCGCCAGCGCGATGTCCTGGGGCAGCTCGTCCTCGCTCTCCTCCTCCTCCTCCTCCTCGTCGTCTGGGGTACAGGGACCAGGCCCCGGTCAGCACCCCGGCCTCCCTGTGTGCCGGCGGCCGCGTCCCCACCCGGGCCCCCGGCATGGCGACGCCTTGCCTACCTTTATCCGGGTCCAGGGGGTTCAGCGAAGTGGCCAGGTTGGCGAACTGCAGGGAGGGGAGAAGCGGCGAGGGTCAGGGCCCGCCCGCCTCGAGGCCCGGCCGGGCACCCCGCGCCGGCCCCGCCCGCCCCGGGCTCGCGCCCTGCGCCCGCGCGCACCTCGCCCATGACGGCGATCGGCGTCTCGCCCTTGGCCTGCGCCACGCGGTGCTCGATCAGGTAGTACATGTACTCGTCGTACAGCAGCCGGATGAGGTGGAACGAGCCGAAGCTGGCGGCGCTGCGCAGGGTCAGGTCCCGGATCACCATGGAGCTGCGAACCCAGGGGGTGGGATCAGCCCCGCCCCGCCTCGAGCCCCACTTCCCAACCAGGCCGCGCCCACCACGCAGTCCATCGCCGAATGAAGGGCCCCGCGACAGCCCACCCCCGCGCACCTGTAGAAGGACCACTTGAGGAGGAAGAGCTTGGCGGCCTTCGGGAAGCCGGTGCTGCCCTGGTAGGGCTTGAGCACCTGGCTCACCACGCTGTCCAGCCAAGCCGCCCACTGCTCCAGAGAGTTCTGCTGCTGCAGAGTCACCTTGAAGTCCTGCTCCAGGCGCTGCACCACGCGGTCCTCGCAGCGGCACACCCACGAGGCCTGCTCCTGTGGGGCGGCGCGAGTGGGCTGGCGGCACGGGGGAGGGGCTTGGCCGGGGCCCGCCCACCAGGCCACGCCCCCAGAGTGCCCAGTGTCCCAGGCCACGTCCCCGGTAGTGCTCTGCCCGCCCAGCTATCCCGGGCCACGCCCCCACAGTAGCCCCGCCCACCTGCACGTTGGCGAAGTCCACGCGGTTGAGGTCGCTCAGCATCTGGTTGATCTGCGCTGTGTTCTGCAGCACGGCGCGCGCCGCCTGCGCCAAGTGGTTGAGCGACGTGTAGCGCCGCAGTGTCTGCGCGAAGGCACCGGCCGCCGCCACCTGCGTGCGGGGTGGAGTGCGGGCGATTGGGGTGCCCGCGGACCCCACTGCTCCCACCCCTCCCAGCCCTCTCTCCAGCCCGATTCCCTTTCTTTAAAATGGAAATGAAGCCGGGCTTATGACTGGAATCCTAGCTACTCAGGAGGCTAAAATCTGGCGATCACGGTTCAAAGCCAAGCCAAGCAGGAAAGTGGTGACTCTGATCTTCACCGAACCACCAAAATACCGGAAGTGGAGCTGTGGCTCAAATGGTAGAGCGCCAGCCTTGAGCAAAAGAGCTCGGACAACGCCCAGGCCCTGAATTCAAGCCCCATGATTGACAAAATAAACTTTTTTTCTATTTCTGAACACTAACTAGATGTGGACAAATCTCCAATTGTGCACGAGAATTTGTTTGGGTTTTTTTTCTAGTTCTGGGGCTTGAACTCACGGCCTGGACACTTTCTGAACTTCTTTTGCTAGCACTCTACCCCCAAGCCACAGCGTGGTACCACCTCCCGCTTTTTCTGTGTCTGTGGTACTGAGGAATGGAACCCAGGGCTTCATGCATGCTAAGGCAAGCACTCTACCACTGAGCCATCCTCCCAGCTCCTAGGTTTTTATTTGTTAAGATGCTGTCTAGGGCTGGGAAGGTGGCTCAGTGGTAGAGCGCTTGCCTTGCATGCCTGAGGCCCTGGGTTCGATTACTCAGCACCACATAAGCAAAAAGAAAAAATCTGGAAGTGGCACTGTGGCTCAAGTGGTAGAGCACTAGCCTTGAGCTGAAGTGCTGAGGGACAGCGCCCAGGCCTAGAATTCAAGCTCCACGACCGGACCCCCCCCCCCCCCAAAAAAAAAAAAGATGCTGTCTAGGGTCCTGCAACGACACAAAGTGGCTGCACAAGGAAGGGCTGTGCAGGAGCGCAAAAGCCCCTCATCTCCGAGTGCTGGCCGTAGCTGTGCGCACACCACCCCGACCCGCCGGAGCCCTGGGCCCGAGTGTCCCGTCCCACCTTCACCCGCAGCATCTCCTCGGGGATGTTCACCATGGCGTGGGTGAGCCAGCTCTCCAGGCTCTTGGCAAAGTTGCGGATGGCTTGGGTCAAGGCACCTAGCGGAGGTAGGCTGGTCAGGAGGACAGGAGGGGCTGGAGCGGGGGTGCAGGGGGAGGGGGCGGAGGGCACTCACTGGGGATGGGGCGCAGCACGTCGGGGATGAGGACGTCCACCAGGCCCTGGTACAGCAGGTGGTCACAGTGCTTGGTCCAGTGGAGCACAGGCTCGAACTTGGACAGGAGCACCAGGCTGGCCTTGGGCAGCCGCTTCTCAGCCTCGTCCTGCCTGGGGACACCCGCCCCATGGCCAAGGTTACCCCCAGGCCGTTTCCATGCACTGGAACACACTGCTCCCCCATCCCGTAGCTCCCCCCATGCACTCTGCGTGCTGGGGTTCCCTCCAGATACAACTGTGCCCTGTTCAAACCCCAACACATTGTCATGGAGGGGGGCAAGGGCATGCGCACCCCACAAACTGTAGGGGTCACTTCCCCCACCCCCGGGAACTCACACGGCCAGCGATGGGGCCTCGCTGGACTGGCTCAGGTTGTACCTCCAAAAGGTCTTCCACAGCGTCTCCACCAACGTGAACTGCAGGTTCACCATGACGTCCACGATGGCCTGTGGGAGGCGGGACGCTGAGGGGGAGGGGTGGGGACTGAGCCCCCCGCCCCCGCCTCGCTGCCACCGTACCTCACAGTGCTCCCGGTACAGGATCTGGAAGGCTTTGATGTCGCCGGGCGTCACGCCCTCGGGCAGCACTTTGCCCTGAAGGTCCAGCTCGATGAAGTCTGGGAGACTCCGGGAGGCATCTGGGGAGGACAGAGGGCTCTGTAAGCACCCCCCCACACTCCCCAGGACATAGCTCATCCAGCTGCCACCATCTTTCAAGCACCTAGGGGCCCCCATGTATTGGGGGGGTTACATGACTCAGGGAGGGAGAGGGTATCCAGCCCTCTGGTTTGCTTGCTTGCCGGCAGTGGCCCTGGCGTGGCCTGGCCCTCAGGACAGGGGCCTTGGGTCTAGGCACTGAAGGTCAGGACCACAGGGCCATGGCCGAGAGGGTATCATCTCTGCAGGAAGCCACCTGCCATGCTCCGTCACTTCCCAGCCCCTTCCCCAGCTCCACAGACACCTGCAGGACCCAGCAGCAGGTGTGTGGGTGTCCTGGTCTCTTTTTTGTTGTTGTTGATAATGGGACTTGAACTCAGGGCCTGGGTGCCATCCCTGAGCACTTTCAAACTCAAGGCTAGATAGCGCTCTACTACTTTGAGCCGCAGCGCCACTTCTGGTTTTTGAATGGTTCCTTGGAGATAAAGAGTCTTAGGGGAACTGGGTACTGGTGGCTCACGCCTGTCATCCTAGCTACTCAGGAGGCTGAGATCTGAGGATCGCAGTTCAAAGCCAGCCCAGGCAAAAAAGTCTATGAGACTCTGATCTCCAATGAACCACCAAAAAACCGGAAGTGGCCCCGCGGCTCAAGCGGTACGGCGCTCACCTTGAGCTGAAGAGCTGAGGGAAAGCACCCAGGCCCACAGTTCAAGACCCATGACCGACAAAAAAAGAAGTGTCAGGGGGCTTTTCTGGCAGGCTGGCTTTGAACCGGGATCCTCAGATCTCAGCCTCGGGAGTAGCTAAGGAGGATGCTGACCCTCAGGTCTCAGGATGACAAGCATGAGCCACCAGTGCCTGGTATGGTCTCTGTTTCATTTTTTGTCTGACATTTTTTTCCCCCTAGAGTCCCGGAGCACACAGACATCATCGACGCCCATAAAGTCAGTCAAGCCTCATGAGCTCTGGGATCCCCAGTAGCACCAGATGGGGTGGAGGGGGGCCTCACAAATAGAACCATCCCCCCCTCTGGTGGGTCTCCCTGAGTGGAGGGGGGGAGCCTTGGGGAAGGCAGAGAGGATGGGTGGGTCCTTGATAACCATGATGGCGGCCACACTCGAGCTACATCTCCCTGAGCTCTCCCTGCCGCACGCTGCCCCCTCGGTCCCCCGACAGCCCCCCCCACCCGACCCCGCGAGCCAAGGTCTCACCCAGGAATTGCTGGTACTGCTGCACCTGGGCGCTGATATCCGACAGCCCGGTGCTCTGCTGCGGCCCCACCGCCACGCCATTGGTCATGCCCTCCATCTTCTGCACGGGCTTCAGCCTGCAGGGCGGGCGGGAGGGCGCGCGTTTGGGGGGGGGAGGCGGGGGTCGGCTGGCTGGGCAGGGTGGGTGGGGACCAGGCCTATGAGTGAGGAACCCAGTGGGGAACCTGTGGCTGCTGGGGGCGTGGCGTGGGGCGTGGCTGAGGCGGGCCCCGCCCTTACCTCTGCTTCTGGGAGAAGGGCTGGCCGCGCATGGCCATGTGCTGCTGGTCTTCCATCAGCCGCAGGAGCGGCGAGCTGGCCTTGATGCGCAGCCCGTAGTAGTGGTACTTGGAGTTTCCCCTGGGAGGAGGGTGGAGGGTGAGAAGTGGGCGGGGCCCCTTGGAGTCTCACCCCACCTCACCCCTCCCTGAACCCCTTCTTCAGGACTGCCAGGAGAAGACGCCACCCGCTGAGCAAGCCCTGTGTGGTCAAAGCCTCTGTGGGGTCTGGTTCCACTGCACAGCCTCCGTTCGGAGCTGGGCCAGGCATCGGGCCCCATCAGCCCGCCAGCCCGCCTTCCCAGAGCCAGCCCCGCATGGGAGTCTCCCAGCCTGGAGGGATGGACGAACAACCAGGCCAGAACGATCCAGAATGCGGAACGGAGCTATGAGTGAAGGAATGCACAAATACATGGCCAGAAGTGGGATGGGTGGATGAGTGGGTGGATGGATGATGGATGAATGGGTGCTGGAGGAACGCACGCATGTGTGAATAGCCGAATGGATGGGTGACGGGCCAGTACGTGAAGGAACGCGTGGGTGCGTGCGCGAATGGATGGACATTTAGGCTGGGAACAGAACTGGGGTAAGCTGGGCTGAGCGGGGGGAGGCATGGGGTCACAAAGAAGGGGGACGGTCTCACGGATGGCTACCCCAGCAATGTGCAGACCCCCACACAGGCTGAGAAGGCGCTCACAGCGTCTGGGCTGGGGCGGGGCTTCTGGCGTGGGGGCGTGGCCTGTGACCCAGCGGAGCCTCCCGCAGGTGGGTGGGGCCTCCGTGGGCGTGGCCTCCTGTGCAGGGTGCAGTCTTCCCACGTGAGGCCTCGCTGTGTGGGTGTGGCCATTTATGTTTGGGCAGACTTGAATGGGCGGGGCCTTGGTGCGTGGGCGGGCCTGGGAATGGGCGGGGCCTGGGAATGGGCGGGGCCTGGTGTGCGCATGGACCCACCTGGTGCCCAGGCGGCGCGTGCGCAGACCCATGAAGACGGAGCGGATGAGCTTGCCGAAGGAGGCGGCGTTGACGGGCTCCAGCTTCTGCTCCTGGCAGTGCAGCAGGTAATGGCAGTAGAGGGTGCTCCGCGGCAGGCTCACGCCCTCGGCCGTCTCGTAGTTGTCCAGCAGCCACTGCACCTGGGGCAGAGGGAGGATGAGCGCCCCCAAGCCCTGGGGGCGCGGCCGGGAGGACCCCACACGCAAACCACACCTCTTCCCCAGAACTTTCTAGAAGAGCAACCCTGGCCAAGCCAACTGCCACTACCCGGGTACAGCTCGGTACACGCCAATTGGGGTAGAGGGGCGCCTGCGAGGGGCGCTGCGCCCGGGGCTTACCGTGGCTGGCGAGGCACGGGTGGTGTGGGAGTAGGACTGGCTGGCACTGCCCAGCATGAAGCCGCCCTGGATCACGTAGGTGCCGGCGCCCCCGCCGCCGCCGCCGCTGCCCGCGCCGCCCGCGCCGCCCGCGCCGCCCCCGCCGCCGCCGGCCCCGCCCCCGCCGCCGCCGCCGCCGCCGCCGCCGCCGCCGTTGCTGCTGGCCCCGGCCCCGCTGCTGGTGGAGCTGGCGACCACCGGGCTGCCGGGCACGTACATGGGCACCGAGCCGCTGCTGGCCACCGCCTGCGAGGTGGCGGGCGTGCTGACCTGGGCCGCGGAGCCCGCGGCCTCATAGTAGCCGGTGCCCGCCGTCTGCGTGTACAGGGGCGTCTCGGGGTAGGGGTAGGTGCTGGAGCGGCTGCGGGAGAAGCAGAGGGCGGGTGAGGGGCGAGGGGACCGAGGGTGCGGCCAAGGAGACCCGGGAGCCAAGGGAGCCACGTTCTTCACCCCAGGGGGAAACTGAGGCAGAAGGGCTAAGCACCTCGCCTCAGTCACATCCTGACCTCAATCTAAAAAACAGAAACCTGGATAGCTGGGAGTGGGGCTCAAGTAGCGCAGCACGTGACCCGCAGGTGACCCACACGCGAGGTCCTGCGGTGCACCCAGCACCACGTCTACAAACCAAAAGCAACTCACACCTGTAATGCCAGCTGTGCAGGAGCACACGGCCAGCGTGCATAGGGAAATGGGAGAAGCCTTGCCTAGCAACCTCAAGACCATGTGTTCAAACCTGAATACCGCTCAAAACTAACTTTTGGACAAAAGAAAAATAGTATGCTAGGTGGTAGTAGCTTACTGTCATCCTAGAGACTTAAGGGCCTGAGATCCAGAGGATCAAGGCTCCAGGCCAGCACCAGGTAGAAAAGTCAGTAAGACTCCATCTGAGTGGCTGGGAAGGTGGCTCAGTGGTAGAGTGCTTGCCTAGCATGCATGAAGCCCTGAGTTCGATTCCTCAGCACCATATACACAGAAAAAGCCAGAAGTGGCATTGTGGCTCAAGTGGCAGAGCAGTAGCCTTGAGCAAAAGCAGCTCAGGGACAGTGCCCAGGACTGGCAATAATAATAATAATTATTATTATTATTTTAAAAAAGACTCCATCTGAACAGAAGAAGCTGGACTTGGTGGCATGGGCCTGTCATCCCAAGTGACAGCAGCATAAAATAGGTGGATCTCAGCTTGGGGAGACCCTGTCTCGAAACTAACCAGTGCAAAATGGGGCTGAAGACATGGCTTGGCAGTAGAGCACCAGCTTATAGCAGGCTCTGGCCCGAAGTTTAATCACTAAGTACAGGAGAGGGGGAAGAATAAGCTAAAAAGAAAAAGTTTAACAAACAACTAGGCATGTGGGCATGGCTTGGGGTAGAAGGTGGGTCCCATCCCCAAAGGACACTTTTCCAGCACTGCAGACAGCATCAGGGAGCAGAAGCCTCCTTGCCCTCCTACAGCAGGAACCCCAGGAAAAACCAAAGGTCAAAAGAAGACAGAGCAGGCTCAGGGAAGGTGGTGGAAGGGGGCGGGCTGGGAAAAGGGCAGGTTCTCATTGGAGATGATTGCCCGCCCACAGAGCTTGGTCCCTCTTATTGGCTGGGAGCTTTCTTCCAGCATCTAGGATTACAGGTGTGAGCTGCCATTTCTGAATAAAGACATAGGAAATAGTTCTTTTTTCAGAGTAGAGTACCTCTGGGAAGACACAAGCAGCTCACAAAGGGGCAGGTTCAGAAGTGAGATAACAGCATTTCACTGGTGAGCATTTCTTACTGTGTAAGCCAGATGTGCAATCCCAGGCTCTCCAGAGGTGGGGGCAAGAGGATGGAGAAGTTGAGGTCAGACAGAGCAAAAAACTATCAAGACTCTATCTCAACCACAACCACAAGTGAGATGTGAGCTGGACTCCAGAGGCTCACTCCTGTCATCCTGGCTTCTCAGGCGGTTGAGATCTGAGAATCAGTTCTAAGCCAGCCTGAGCAAGAAAGTCTGTGAGTTTCATCTACCAACCTACCAAAAAAGCCGGAAGTAGTTGTGGCTCACGTGGTAAGCACTAGCCTTGAGAAAAAGCAGCTCAGGTACAGCGCTCAGGTGCTGAGTTCAAGCCCCAGGACCAGCACACAGATGCACACACAAAATGACAGATGGAAGCCGGGTGCCAGTGGCTCATGCCTATAATCCTGGATACTCAGGAGGCTGAGATTTGAGGATTGAAGTTCAAAGCCAGGAAAAAGCCATGAGACTCATCTCCAATAAACTACCAGAAAACTGGAAGTGGTGCTGTGGCTCAAGTGGTAGAGCGCTCGCCTTGAGCTGAAGAGCTAAGGGACAGCACCCAGACCCAGAGTTCAAGCCCCACGACCAAAAAAAAAAAATGGTAGAACATGCTTCTACTTCTAGCTAGGAGGATCATGATGGAGGTTTACCAGGTAAAAATTTAAAATCCTATCTGAAAAAGATCTAACGCAACAAAGGTTGGGGAGTGGGCGTAGCTCCAGCAGTGGAACGAATCCATAGCAAATGTGAGACCCTCAGTTCAAGCAAAGTAAGTTTTTTCTTATAATTTTTTTGTCACCTCTCAAACTAGGCCCATCTAACTCCAAAGCCCCAAACTATATGCTGGCATGCCTTTCCCACCCACTTGTCACCTGAGCCTTGACAACCCGGCCACTAGGGGTGAGAATTGTGGTCTGGGCTCTGGTACGGCCCCACCCTGCCCCTAGCTCGGCCCACTTACATGGCACTGGCTGTGTAGCTGGCGTCGCCACCCTCCACGTACTGCACCTGGCTGGAGTAGACGTGGGAGACAGGCACCTGCTGGAGCTGCTGGACCTAGGGCCAAAGGAAGGGAGATCAGGGTTGGCCTGCAGCTTGCTTTCGTATTATAGGGCTAGTGGCCGCCCCAGCAATCCCTGCCGCCCAGGACCCTGGCTGGGCAGGCACTTCTGAATTCTGGGAACAGCACACCCTGGTCTGGGCCAAGGGTCCTCAGGGGGCTGGGACTCAGGAAGAACTGATTCTGCTTCAGCTGGGGAGCAGCACGAGGGGGGCCTGAAGAGGGGACCCCGAACACGGCCTGCAGTGGGCCTGGGCCAAGCACAGGGACAAGGTGTCATTAGCGCCAGAGCCTGGCACCACAGATGGAGCCTCAGGGGCGGGGCCTGGACCTGCAGGCCTGCATGATAGGGTAAAAAACCCAGACTGACAGCGCCTGGGGGCTGGGGCTCAGTACCCCACCCACCCTTGCCTGCAGGGCGGGGCCGGAGGCGGGGTCTGAGGGGCGGGGCCGAGCCCTGCCTGGGCGGGGCAGAGGTCTGCAGGGGCGGGGCCAGGGGACTGCGGGCTCCCCGCCCCTTCCGCCCCTTCCGCCCCGCCACCTACTTTGAGGGCGGTGGCGGCCGCGCCGAACACCAGCACCTGGGGAACTCTCTGGATCCTGACCCTCGGGTCGGGGCTGGCGCGGGCCGCCAGCCCGGGCAGGGGCTCGAGCACCACCTTCGGCGGCGGCGGCGGCGGCAGGAGCAGGTGCGGGGGCAGCACGCCCACCAGCTCCACCCACTGCTCGGCGCCCGGCGGCCCGGGGCTGCCCGGCTGCGAGGCCTCGGGGTCCCGGGGGTCCCGGGGGTGCCGCGCGCCGGGCCCCGGGGAGGGCGGCGGCTCCGGAGGCGGCGGCGGGGCCCGCGGCTCGCGCTGCTCTGCCTTCCTAGCGGGAAACTGACTGTCTGAGCTCTGGAGGACAAACAGAGACACTCGGGGGTCAGCCGGGGCCCGCGGGCAGCCCGGACGGAGACCCCCGCCCCGGGGTCTCGGGGACGGAGGGCAGGAAGGACCCACGGGGTCTGAAAGCCCGCGCCAGAGTCCGGAGGTCAGAACCACCACCCACGGGCCTGGCCGCTGGGGGGCGCCCGCGTCCGCCCGGGCCAGCGGGGCGCCCGGGGTGCGGGGCGGAACCCACCTCTTGAGCCACATGCACGGGCTGGAGGCTCTGCACCGTCAGCTGCTGCACGGGGCCGGCTTTGGGCGCCTGCGGGGTGGCCTGCACCACGGACCTCTGGGGAAGGAGAGACAGCCGGCCTGCGGTAACCATGGCAACCGCGGCGCCCAGCCCCGCACACGCGGGAACCTCAGAGCCGCCCTCCCGAGGAAAACAGCCTCCATGATCCCTAGCCAGAGGCGGCAGCTCTGTGCCGTGGGTCCAGACGCCCTGCTGGAGGCCCAGAGGCAGGCCCGGGGAGGGGAGGCTGCCCGGACGGGGAGCGATGGGCACAGGGCCTCTGGGACTGGCCTCCACTGGCGGCTTCGCCCCACACTCAGCTACTTCACTTAAGAACCCCGCCCGGGCCCGCCCACTCCCCGGCCCCGCCCCTCCCAGGTTCCCGGAAGGGTAGAGCCAGTGGGCGGTGCCATGGGCTGTCCCCGCCCCCTCCAGCGAGGCGGTCCTCCGGGTGACCCTTTGGTGGGGATGCTGGCATCCTCAGGGCCCAGGAGCTGGAGGAGAGGGCGGGGCTTGAACCCTGTGTCAAGGTTCACAGGGGGCTGTGGCCCTAAGAATCCTGTGGGATCAGCTTTTGCTTTCCTCAGAGCTTTCGCTGTTTGTTTTAATTTGAGGTGGAGTCTTGCCCAGGCTGGTCTTGAATTCCTGAGCTTCAAGTGATCTTCCTTCCTCAGCCTCCTCAGTAGCTGGGACTACAGGCATGTGCCACCACGCTTGGCTTCATGTGGCCTGGTACCCCACAACTTGAGCAATGACAAGCAGGTGGCAGAAGAGTGTGGCCTCTGGCAGTGTGTCTGGCAGCTGGGAGCTCAGCTCTCCAGCCGGCTAGGGGTGGTTCTGAAAGCTAAAGCCTCTCAGACACTCAAGAGATGAGCAGGGACTTGGCGGCAGGATTTCCCCCCAGGCAATGGGCCTAAGAAGCCATGGTGGCTTCTGGAAGCTGATCCTAGGGCCTGCTCTTCCTGGGTCGGCAGGGCACCTCACACAGGGCATTCTCACCCCCTTAGCGCGGCCTCCATCCCAGGGCACCAGAACACGAGACATGACATGGTAGCTGAACTCGAGCAGGGCCATGAAGGCCGCCAGGCCAGGACCCCTCCCCCCTCCCCATCTTGGCCAATCACCTCTTGGGTGAGGGGGACGCTCTGCTGGACGCCGTGGACCTGCAGCTGTGGGGGCACGGTGCCTGCAGGGGCCCCAGCTGTCTTGCTGGTGGAGCTGGTGGCCTGCACCGGTGACCTCTGCAAAGGAAGGAGACGGAGCCATGTGAGGTTGTTTGGGGGTGCTGGGGGGGGGCGATTGGATGCTGATGTGGAGAAGGCAGCAGTTGGAGGGGGCGGGTCCCAGCCACCACCTAGGCCCAATGTCTGCATCCTCCACTCAGCCTGGTGGGCCCAGGCGCGGGTGGGGTCCAGAGGTGCTCATCCGCCCAGACACTGAGATGACCAAGGGCAGGCTGGGGACACCTGGGTGGCCACATCTCAAAGGTCCTGTCCAGAACAGCAGTGACATCGAGCAGCATGGCACCGTGGAACCCCATGGGGTGGTGGAAGCAGGAGACCTGCCCAGCGCCCCACAGGTCGACTGGTTGTAGGCTCCGCCCACGAAGCCGGGGCTAAATTCTGACAGATGGCTGATGGGTAGTGGGCCTAAGGATTGAAGGGGAGGCCTCTGTGCTTGCTCCCTCTTACCCCTGAGCCTCACCCCCAGCCTTTCGCTTTGCTTATTTTTCAGGAAGGATCCTGAGCGTTTGTCCCAAGAGGGCCTCAAACGAGGACCTTACTATTTTAACCTGCAGAATAGCTGGGACTACAGGCATATACTACCAAACTCAGCCTCATTTGCTCTTTTTTTTTCCCCCTTTGGTCAGTCATGGAGCTTGAACTCTGGGCCTGGGCGCTGTCCCTGAGCTCTTCAGCACAAGGAGAGCGCTCTACCACTTGAGCCACAGCGCCACTTCCTCTTTTCCTCATTAAACTTCAGGCTTAAAAGCCTGAAGTCTTGCCTGTCTGTGCAGAGGAGTGGATGGCTGGGCCTGGGGTCTGACTCAGGTTTCTGATGCCCATCCTTGTGCTCCGGACCACTGCTACCTGCTTGCCTGCACTGGCCAAGGAGGCCACTGTGCAGCACGGATAGCCGCTGGCCAGGCCGGCTCAGCTCCAAGCAGCAAGAGCCTGAGTCACATGGTGCCACGGAGGAGGGCAGGCCTCTGCAGGGGCCCCAAGGGTGCTAAGGGGTTGTATGGCTGACCCAGGGAGAGATGAGGGGAGGGGCATCCAAGGAGACCACCACCTACCTCGGGGGGCGAGTGCACCTGCTGGGTACTGTGCACGGTCAGCGCGACCTGGCCGCCCTTGCTGCCGGGCCCCGAGCTCTGCACCACCAGACGCTGTGTGGGGAGAGTCTGGAGCCCAGGAAGGAAAAGGGCGCCGATCACCCAGACCACCAAACACAGCAGGGGGTTCGAGTCATTTTCGTTGTGGTGTTGGGGGTGGAACCTGAGGCAGTACGCCGACACGCATGCCGGCTCGCTTGCTGGCCACGCCCCCAACAAGCCCCGCCCACCACCGGCCACGCCCCAAGGGCAAGCCCCGCCCCCGGTCTGTCCACGCCCCAGCACCGAGCCACGCCCCCGTCCTAACTGCGGGTTTGGCCCAGCTCGGCCGCAGTGCCTCCCGCCTGTGGCTCACGGGATACCCGCACTCACAGCCCGCGTGCGTGTCACGGGCTGGTCCCAGGCCCTGGGGCCAGGAAGCAGCAGGGCCTGAGTTTGTGGGGCTCCACAAGCCACAGGGCGGTGTTCTCCAAATCTGATGTGGTGGCGGCTCGGGGGGAGAGCACGTGTCCAGGCCTGCGTGGCTCCCACCCCACTAGTGACCCGATCCGAGTCTGCGCTGGCTGCAGGCTCCCGAGGCTCAGGCTCCCTGCTTTCCCTGGAAGGCCCCGTCCCGGGTCTGATGTGTCCCCGCCCCGTGGAGGCCGCTGTCCAGAGCACTGGGCGGAGCTGGTGACCCCCCAGCCCTGGCAGAGACGGGCCCCAGTGCGCGGGACGCTGTGCCAGGAAGGCTCACCTGCGGCGGCACCTGGATGTTGGTGAGCTGCAGAGGTGACACGTGTCCCGGCTTGGCCTGCACCAGCAGCCGCTGTGGGGACAGGTGGGGGGGGGTCGGAAGCCGGCACCGGGCACAGCTGGTGGTTCTGGAGGGCAGCTACGGGCAAGAGTGCCCTCGGCCCCAGCTGGCACTGCCCGCCTCGTGCCCATCCCCAAGACCACATCGTACCTGCTGGGTGCCCTGTACCTGCTGGACCACTTGGGTGGGGACGCCGGTCTGGCTGGCCGTGGAGCCCGGGCTGGCCTCCGACACGGTCTCGCTGGCCCGCATGGCACCTTCTGTGGGGACAGGTGGCCGCGTCCCAGCTCTGCCCTCGGCTTCTGCCCCAGACGCAACCCCGCCCTCCCGGCCCGTGCCTAGCCTCTGCCACCGTCCTGGCCAGGACGCAGGGACTGGACACCTTCCCTGGGACAGAGAATGGACCCCAAAGCCTGCAGACGCCTGTCCTGTCGGGGGGCGGGGGGCACTCACGCTGGCAGGCGCTCAGGAAGCAGCAGTCGTGGAGCATGGGTGCGGTGCCCGCCCGCCCGCCGCCCACCTCTGCAGGAGGAGCAGGGGGCGCGGGCGGCCAACTTATACCCACAGCTAATCCCACCTGAGGGGACGCCAGAGCGCCCACGTGCTCCCCTCCATAAACACGGGGCTCCCCGCGGCACCCACAGATGCTATCCGGCGCCGGCAGGTCAGGTTTCATGCCCGTCCTGTGCTGTCTGCGGCCGTGGGAGGGGGGCGGGGAGACCCCGCCAAGCTTCCGCGCAGCCTCCCATCTATCCCCGCGGGCCCGGGGGCTCCCCAGCACTGGGGTCTCCCGGCTTCGCTTAGCTGGTGGGAAGGCCCCACCTCTCCTTGGGAGAGGTTCGCCTGTGGGTTCCCAGGGGTCCCTGTGTGAGCAGAACTGACGGCAAAGGGAAGGAGGCACCAGCCCCCGGGCCGCAGGCCCCAAGGCGGCGCGCAGCGGGCGCGCAGCAGGTGCGCAGCGGCACCGGCTCTGGGCCTGACCGCGCCGCCCCCCATGCCCCCAGCCTCTGCTGCTGCCGTGAGCACTTTGTACACGGAGGCAGGAAGCTGGGGACCCTTCCAGTCCTAGAGGATCTCAGGGTGGGGGTTCAGTCTCCAAAGGAGGGTGCTGGGCACAGGAGACAGGCCTGGCCAGGCAGCAGGAGCCCGGAGGCCAAGCCTCAGCCGCCCACGTGCCGCCTATGGGAGAAGGGGGGCTCCCCGAGGCCGCATGCGAGGCCCCCGCGTGCGGCCGCCCCAGGCCTGCTCCGCCAGCTGACCGCGTCGCCAATTCCAGGGGTTGCTGGAATCTCCCCAGGCTGGGAGGAGGGCAGAGGCGCGCACTCGCCTGGGCCCCTGCGGGGGAAACCTGAGCTGGCCCCGAGTCACGTGACCGGCGCCGCACACCTGGCTGCGGCGGAGCCTGGGGATGGCGGCCGGGCAGGGAGCGCTGCCCGGGCCGGGGGTGGCGGCCGGGCGGGGGGTGGCGGCCGGGCCGGGGGTGGCGGCCGGGCCGGGGGTGGCGGCCGGGCAGGGAGGCGCTGCCCGGGCCGGGGATGGCGGCTGGGCCAGGGGTGGTGGCTGGGCCGGGGATGGCGGCCGGGCCGGGGGTGGCGGCCGGGCCGGGGATGGCGGCCGGGCAGGGAGGCGCTGCCCGGGCCGGGGCCGGGGAGCGGCGCTTCCTCCACACCTCCCGCCTGCCCTGAGAGGTCTGTCCGCGGGACCCCTGCCCCCAGCAGGTGCGGAGGGCGCCAGTGCTCACGCCTGTCATCCCAGAGACTCAGGAGGCTGAGATGTGAGGATCGCGGTTTCCTAGGCAGGAAAGCCTGTGAGACTCTAACCTCTAATTAGTCACCAAAAAGCTGGAAGCGGAGGTGTGGCTCGGCTGGCAGAGTACCAGCCTGGAGAGAAAATGCTAAGCAGCGGAGCACGGGGGCTCCCACCTGTCACCCCAGCTACTCAGGAGGCTGAGACCTGAGGATCAGGGTTCAAAGCCAGCCCAGGCAGGAAAGTCCGTGAGACTCATCTCCAAAGAACCACCAGAAAACTGGAAGTGGCGCTGTGGCCCAAGTGGTAGAGCGCTCACCTTGAGCAAAATGAAGCTGAGTTCAAGCTCAGGACTGGCACACACATAGAAAAGGAAGTACAAAAAAAACCAAAAAGGAAGCACAAGCAGGGGGTCCACGGGGCTCACCCCCCCACCCCCCCAGGGGCAGCTGCCCCCTTCTTCTACCTCAGGTGTGGGGCAGGAGTGGAAGGCGAGCTTCTATCGCAGGCCACCACCCAGGGCGCCTTGAAGCCGAGAGCACCAGGCTCAGGCTGGACCCGCGTGGCCCTGTCCACAGCGCCCCCTGCTGGGGACACCCGGAGATCCTGCACTGCGCCCAGCTTCCGCGCTTGCTCCATGCCACCCTCCTCTTCCTCACACATCCAGGCAGTGTGGGCCTCAGAGAAAGGCAAAGCCCCCCACCCAAACAGACAGACAGACAGCCTCTCCAGCCCACCCCTGCTGGTGCCAAGTTCTCCTTGGCAGGCTGGAGAAGCGGCAGGGGCAGAGCCCACCTTCCTGCACCCGCAGCTGCCGAGCTGGAGAGGAGAGGTAGAGCGTTAACTTGGGGTCTTTTGGGGCCTAGAGCACTGGGCCTCTGGGGACCCCAGAATGAATGATAAAACACCCACATAGCCAGGAGCTATGTGGCTCATGCATGTAATCCCAGCAACTCAGGAGGCTGAGATCTAAGGATGGTGGTTTGGAGTCCACTGAGGGAAGCCATGAGATTCTTTTTTTTGGGGGGGGGGAGGGAGGGTCCAGTCGTGGGGCCTGAACTCTGGACCTGGGCGCTGTCCCTCAGCTCTTCAACTCAAGGCTAGAGCTCTACCATTTGAGCCACAGCACCACTTCCGGCTTTTTCTTTTTGCTTATGTGGTGCTGAGGAATTGAACCCAGGGCCTCAGGCATGCAAGGCAAGCACTCTACCACTGAGCCACCTTCCCAGCCCAACCATGAAATTCTTGTTAGAAGCAGCAAAAAGCCAGAAGGAAAGCAGTGGTTCAAATGGTAGGGTGTCTACACTGGATGAAAAAGTGAAGGTATAACGCCCAGGCTGTGAGTTCAAGGCCCGCGCAGTACTGGCTCTGGGCAGACATCAGGGTGGACTGAGAGCTGGCATGCTAAGACCAGGTGAATTGCTGGAGTGGGGACCCGAGCCCTCCCCTGCTGCGGAGGTGGGGCAGGAGGAGGAAGCAGGGGTGGAGCAGGCCCGTCACCCTAGCTACTCAGAAGGCTAAGAACTGATGATCGCTGTTCGAAGCCAGCCGAGGCGGAAAGTTCCCTGTGAGACTCTTATCTCCAATGAACCATTCAAACACCAGAAGTGGTCTCGTGGTTCAAAGGGAGAGAGTGCCAGCCTTGAGCACAAGAGCCCAGGCCCTGTCAAAGGTCTCGACTGACCCAAAAACACTCTGGGACAGCAAATAGGCCTTCAGCCCAAAGAAAAAAGAAGAAGAAAAGAAAAACAGAACAGGAAGGATGTAGGGGACAGGGCAGGGGTGAGGCGAGGGCTGCGGAGGGGCAGGGCTGTGGCTGCCGGTCAGCGGCAGGCTCAGGGGGACAGGGGACGGCCTGTCGCGGGCCTCCCAGCCCCACGGAACCGGGCAGCGGCGCTCCCAGCTCTGCTGCCGCCCCACCCGTTTTTTTTTGTTTGGTTGGTTGTGGAGCTTGAACTCAGGGCCTTGAACTCTGGGCCTGGGCGCTGTCCCTCAGCTCTTCAGCTCCAGGCTAGCGCTCTACCACATGAGCCACAGCGCCACTCCCAGTTTCCTGATCTCATTGGAGATCAGAGGCTCACGGACTTTCCTGCCCAGGCTGGCTTTGAACTGCGATCCTCAGATCTCAGCCTCTTGAGTAGCTAGGATGACAGGTGGGAGCCACTGGCGTCCAGCAAGCCCTTTTTCAGGTAAGGTCCGTGCTCATCTCCCTGGAGCTGGCCTGGCCCCCAATTCCTAGCACACCACCCCGCCCTGCTTCTTGGTTGAGATTGGAGGTGGAAGGGGATTGTCTTGCTAACTTTGGGCCTCAGACTGGCCTCCAGCTGCAACCCTCCCATTTTCTGCCTCCAGACGAGCTGAGATTACAGGGAGGAGCCACCGTACCTGTCCAGCCCAATCTCAACCTAATCCAGCCGGCGAGGATGCCCTGAGTGCCAGGTGCTTCTGTGCTCTTGAGTTTCCCGTGGCTGTGCCATGTTCCCGCGGGGGCCCCCAAAAGCGCGCCACAGACACCAATTCCCACAGACAGCCCACGCAAACAAGCCGGGAAACGGCTAGGTTCCAAGAGGCCGCCATGTGTAGACTGTCAGCCACAGGCTGATCTGAATGACCAACTCTGAGGCGAAGTCCAACGCTGCAGGAGGAAAGCGGGCAAGCCAGCGCCAAGAGACAAACCAGCCGGGTGCCCTCAGGCGCCAGGGCCAGGTCTGGAGCCGCACCCTCGGAGGACCCCGGCCTTCCCCACCCGAGCCCACGGGTCCTGGTCATCTCTCCAATGCGCAGGCACAGGAAGGAGCCGCCGCTAGGCCTCCCCCCCCCCCCCCCCCCCCCCCCCCCGCGGGCCTGCTGCACCCCTAGATCTGCAGGGAGGACCAGAAGGAGGGGAGGCCACTGTCCAGGCCTCGCAGCCCATGTTCCCAAGAGGGAGACACGGACATGTCCCTTTACAGATGGGGAAACTGAGGCTGAGAGATTGGGGTGTGTAGAAACTGAATTCTTCCTCGACAACAGACACGACGGCGAATCGAAGAGCACCCACCCACCCCCTAGTGAGACAAGAGTTTGGGGGCGCACAGGGGCCTCCAGGGGCCTGGCTATCTTTCCCCTGGGGATTTGGTCGTCCCCCTCTCCCCCACCCCCAGGATTCTGGGCTTCTAGAAAACTCCCAGAGCTGCTCTGAGCCGCCCGCCCCCGTCCCCGCCCCGAGGCTCCGCGCACACTTACCAGAGACGGTGACCACGATGTACTGTTGGGGGACAGGGGACGGGGCGGGGGCGCCGGCCGGCTGCGCGGCGGGGGTGGCGGGCAGCTCCGTCACATACTGCTTCTGGCCCCCGGGGGGCGGCGCGGGGGGCTGGGGGCTGTGCAGCTCGGTGACATAGGGGGCCTGGGGGCCGGCGGCCGCGGGGGGCTGCGGGGTGGCGGCGGGGGGCGGCGGCGGGGGCGGGGCCTGGGGCGGCTGCGGGGCTGCTTGCAGCTCGGTGACGTACGCTTGCGTCGCCATGCCAACCGGAGGGAAATGAGAATAAATACGGCGCGGTCGCTGCTGCTTCTCTTCCTTGGGAAGAAAGTGGGGGGGGGGAACAACAACAACACAGAAGACAGGAAGCGAGAGTGAGCGGGAGTGCGCGGCAGGCGGCGGGGCCGGCGGCCTGCGCCCACCCTGCGCGCGCCCTCGCAGCCCAGGCTGGCATCTGTGGGTCCACAGGGTCCCCCACATTTCCCGGGCGGTGGGGGGGACACAGGCAGAGTCCCGCCTCGCCGTCAGCGGCGGCGTCCCCCGCGTCTTGCGCAGCGCAGGGATGGAGGGATGGACGCCCTCCAGCAAGCCGCCACCCGCCGCGCCCAGCCCTGGCTCAGGTGGGAGAGCGCCCGCCGCGAGGGCGCAGCCCAGGGGCAGGCCCGGCCCGGGGCCCCAGACCAGGCCTGGTGGGCACGACGCGAGTGCGCGCACACGGACATGCACGCACACGCGCACACACACGCACACGCAGCGCATATGCACGCACGCACACGCGCACACACACACACACGAGGCAGCCGGGCGCCATGGCTCACGCCTGTCATCCCAGCCACTCAGGAGGCTGAGATCGGAGGATCGCGGTGCAAAGCCTGTGAAACTCATCTCCAATCTACTCAGAGAAAGCCGCAAATGGCGCGTGGCTCCCGTGGGAGAGCGCTAGCCTTGAGCACAGAGAGGCTGAGCTTCAGGGACAGCGCCAGGGCCCCGAGTTCAAGGTGGGGGCTTTCAAAGCTCCACACTGACTGCGTCGAGTCCTCCAAGACACAAGCCTTGTCTCACGCCTCTGCTCCGGCCGCCGGGGGCGCGGGGAGGTGAGGGTGAGGGGTGCAAACCCACCGGCTCATCACCTAGGGCACCATACTTCCCCATATTGTAGCTTAAGATCCCTTTACGGCAAGAGAAACAAGACAAAAAGGGCTTTTGTTTCTCTGCTGGTCCTAGGGCTGGAACTCAGGGCCCAGGCGCTGTCCCTCAGCTTTCACTCAAGGCTGGTGCTCCACCACTTGAGCCACACCTCCACTGCCAGCTTTTGGGTGGTTTGTTGGGGATAGGAGTTTTATGGACTTTCCTGCCCAGGCTGGCTTTGAACCTGGGTTCTCAGAACTCAGCCTTCGAGGTAGCTAGGATGACAGGTGTGAGACACTGCTGCTCCCTGACTATCAAACCTATTCTTTGGCAATGAATTTGCCTAAGGAAGCATTAGTGCCTGCACCTAGCTTCAAAGTGGACAGCTAGGAGAATGTGTGAACTAGTTACTTTGGATCAGCGGCCAGAAAGTACGTATTGCTGGTTTTAAGGGCAGATAGCACCTGCAGCTACTGCCAAACCGCAGATGAGTGTCCATGGACAACTTGGAAACAAAGACACAGGCTGGATGGCAACAAAACCTTTGATTTGCTGAGATTTGAATTTTGTACAATTGTATTTGTCTTTTTATTTTTTTTTCCTAGTCATTTAAAAATCCAGAAATCAGCTGGGTGAATGGGCCAACTCACAGACCGCCTGGCTTGAGTGTTCAAGACTCCGAGTCTAGTACCACCCACAAAAAAAAAAAAAAAAAGGAAAACTCACTGAGAGCTGGGCACAGTGGCTGCCGCCCGTCATCCTGGCTACTCAGGAGGCTGAGATCTGAGGATCAAGGTTCAAAGACAACTCAGGCAGGAAAGTCCATGAGACTTTTATCACCAATTAAGGAGCAGAAAGGCCAAAATGGAGCTGTGGCTCAAGTAGTAGGAGCATCAACCTTGAGGGAAAAGCTAAGCACAGAACCCAGGTCCTGAGTTCAAATCACCTGCCATACAGAATCGGGCAGCACGTGGGGTGGGTCCCAGATCTCCCAGCCACCCACCTGGCTGCGCAAGGCCTCAGTCGGGAACTCTCAGAGTTAGTTGTAATGATGCGGGGGCACGCTCCCCCGGTCCTAACGTCTGCTTTATGACTCATGCAAAGAATGTTCCCACACTCCTGCTGGCCTCAGGACCTTTGTACACCTCTTCTCCTCTTCCAGAGCATTTGCTCCTGACCACCCCCACCGCCCTTCTCCCGCATTGACCACTGGCTCCTTCTTATCAGCCTGTGTGTCGCTTCCCTTGGTGCTGTTATTTTTCTTCCAGCACTAGAGCTTCTCTGTTTATTGACTTTCTTACTCATAGCTTCTCTTCCTTCTGCAAGTCAATAGTTGCAGACTGGACTACCTCACCCATCCTCCACTGAAACTCCTAGAATACCGGGGCCACACAGGGCTTAACTCTTTTCTTTTTTCTTTTTTTTTTTTTGTGGGGGGGGGTCTGGTCGTGGGGTCTGAACTCTGGGCCTGGGCGCTGTCCCTCAGCTCTTCAGCTCAAGGCGAGCGCTCTACCACTTGAGCCACAGCGCCACTTCCAGCTTTTTCTGCTTATGGGGTGTTAAGGAATCAAACCCAGGGCCTCATGCTTGCAAGGCAGGCGCTCTACCACTGAGCCACCTTCCCAGCCCAACTCTTTTATTTTCTTCTTTACTATTTTTCTTGCAGTGCTGGGGCTGGAACCCAGGGCCTTTGCACGTGCTAGACAAGCACTCCACCCCGGAGCCATGCCCTCTGCCCCACTTCCTAGTCTTCTCTAGTGAACTATGGTACTGGCTGGTCTGAGGAAGACCTGAGGAGCAAGTTACTGCCTTTGGCCAACGAGGAGCTCTGCTCCTGCAGCTCCGCTACCTCCGATGCCAGTGGGCCAGGGCAGTGTGGGGACACTCCTCCCTAACCCAGGAGGATGGTGTGTCAAGAAGCTAGGACCAGGGGCTGGGAAGGTGGCTCAGCGGTAGAGCGCTTGCCTCCCATGCATGAGGCCCTGGGTTCGATTCATCAACACCCCATACGCAGAAAAAGCCGGAAGTGGTGCTGTGGCTCAAGTGGTAGAGCGCTCGCCTTGAGCTGAAGAGCTGAGGGACAGCGCCCAGGCCCAGAGTTCAAGCCCCATGACTGACAAGAAGAAAAAAAAAAAAGAAGCTAGGAGCACTTTGGCCTTGGGAGCACAGGCCTAGCCACACCCTGCCCGCCTTCAAATCCAAAGGGACAAAAATAAATGTGGGGGCTGGGAAGGTGGCTCAGTGGTGAGCACTTGCCTTGCATGTTCGAGGCCCTGGGTTCGATTCCTCAGCACCACATAAGCAAAAAGAAAAAAGCAGGAAGTGGTGCTGTGGCTCAAGTGGTAGAGCGCTAGCCTTGAGCTGAAGAGCTGAGGGACAGCGCCCAGGCTTAGAGTTCAGGCCCCAAGACCGGACCCAAAAAATAAATAAATAAATAAAATAAATAAATGTGGAGGTTCATTCACCCACCAGGGCCAGACAGGAAGTGTGCATCAGCATGATGATGGTGGCAGCCGAAGCCAGGGCCTGGACAATTACTATGCAGTCAATACTCAAGATCCCTGTGATCTTGCAAGATCCAGAATGCTCAGCTGAGGGAGGAGATTAACATGAATAGTGTCCTAGCTTTGATAAGCGTCATCGAGGCCCAGAGAAGTCAAGCTACTCACCCAAGAGCACACAGCCAGAAAGTATTAGACAAGGGCAAGACAACGCAGCCAGTGTTCCCTTTCCAAGCAAATGGACCTGGGTAGGAGGAAGATGAGGCTGGGCTGGGAGACCAGATAATCAGCTATGGCTCCAGTGGTAAAGCACTTGCCTAGCAAGTTCAGAGTTCAAATCAAATCCTACTCCTGCCAAAAAGCAGCCAGAAACTTCCTGGGGCGCCACTGGCTGCTGAGAAAGCCAGGCCTTCATGAGTAGAGCAGCTAGGAAGGAGAAGAATTAGAAGAAGAAAAGTCCCCGGCGCAGGGCCACGGGACTAAGCGCGCAGCCGGGCTCGCCAGCCGGTTTCAGTTCCCCTGGCCCCGGCACCCCAGGATCCTGGGCCGTCCGGTCTGAGGGGCAGTGTTGACATGCCGGCTAGCTCGCCACTGGACACTCAGACCTCGGGGATCGGCCCCCAGGAACTCCCGGGAGCGACCTGGGGAGACAGCAGGAAAACCACCACCACCAAACAAGGCCGGCGAGCAGACCCTTCTCCCCACTTGAAAGGATGGAACACTGAGGCCTCAAAGAACAGCCGGCATCTGTTCCGGCTCTAAATCCCGGGGACGACTATGGGGGCTCCGAGGGGGAACCCCGCAGGCGCGGCCGCCTCACCCCGCCCCGGGGATCCGGGCGGCCCCGGGGATCCGGGCGGCCCCGGGGATCCGGGCGGCCCCGGGGATCCGGGCGGCCTCGGGGATCCGGGCGGCCCGGGGTGGTGGCCGCGGCTCCACCCGAGTCCCCGGGCGGGAGGGGTTCGGCCCCGCCCACCTACCTTGGCCCCGCCCCGCCCTCCTCTCGCTCCCATTGGCCCAGCCTTCCCGGACCCGCCCCTTCGCACCTCCCGACATATAAAAGCCCCCCGCCCCGGCCGGCCGACCTCCACTCGCCGGCGGCCTGCGAGCGCCCGCCCCTCGCGGGGGACGGGCCGCGGGACCGGGGGGCGGGTGGTGTCGCCCCAGCTGGGCCTCGGCCCCCTCCCCCCCGGTCCCGACTGTCGCCGCCGCCATTTTGATCGCCCGCCCCTTCCCCCTGGGCTGTGATCACAGCGACACCCGCCGCCCGGGCCCGGCCGCCTGCCCCGGCCCGGCCTACCGCCCTGGGGCCGTCCCGGTTACCTCGGCTTCTCCCCACTCGTGTCGGCGGAAGGGCTTTTCCAAGGTCTCCGAGGCGATGTTAGGAAGGGGACGGGCCGTGCCAGGGTCCCCAGGCCGGGCCGGGGGGGGTGGGGGTGGGGGTCGGCCGGGCGGTTGTTGTTGTTGACTCGCGTTGCCGGGTTGCTTGGTCGCCACGACTACCGTGGCTATGGCGCCTCCGTTTCCCTCACCGGGGCAACTGTTGCTACCCACCCTACCTACGTCACGCGCCCGGGGCGGGGCCCTGGCTGATTGGCGGTGCCTAGAGACGTGATTGGACGGCGCTGGGCCTGGCTCGGCGTCGATTGGCTGCGTGCCACGCCCTTCAGCGCCCGCTGGACTTCCTGGCACTTGGATTCCTCGGGACGAATGTCCATCAAAGGAAACTGAACCCTCAAAGGCTGCGCAGCCCGTCACTCCCCTCAGGAAGCAGCGGGCTACGACGACGGGGGCGGGACCTGTGAGCCCGCGATTGGAGTGAGGCTGTCAAATCTGCCTTCTGGTTCGATTACCCGGGTGTCAATCCGCCCAGAGGTTTGCCGCGCTCTCCGGCGGGGGTGGCGGGGGTGATAGTGCGCATGCGTCGCGCGCCAGCCCGCCTAAGAGGTTGTAGTCCGGTCCTACGTACTTAAAATAACTTACCGGACGAAAGATCGCTTCCTTTAAACTTGTCCCTCCCCCGGCGTGGGCCGGTTTCTGCCCTCTCGCGCTGACGTCACGGGGGGAACGCGGCGACGCCAGCACTGCCCCCTCTGTGACGTCAGCGGTCGGGCCGGAGCGCGGTGACGTCACGAGCACCCCTCCCTCTCCTCCCCCGCCCCGCCGCCGCCCCGGGTGGAGTTTGGGCCTGAGGTGCCGCGGCGGGGCGGGACCCGCGTCACCCCCCCCCCCCCCCCCCGCTCCGCGCCCAGCGGCCCGGAAAGGTCAGGCCGGCGGCCCCGCGGTGTGCGGCCCCCGCGGTGTGCGGCGGCCCCGCCGCGCGGCCGCCGGGAAAGGTCTCCCCGAGGCGGCGGCTTCATCAGCTCGGGCCGCGCGGGCGATAAGCAAAGGTCAGCGGCCCGCGTGGCCGGGCGCGCGGCTGCGCTCCGGGGCTCGGCCCCCCCTTCTGTCGGACACCTGTTCCTCGGGGACGTGCGCACGGCCCCGCGGCGCGCGCACCGAACCATCTAGATACAGGATAGTGGAATGCGAGCTTCTTAGTCGTTCCTGCTGGGGCTTGAACTCGGGGCCTGGCTCTGTCCCTGACCTGCTCCTGTGCTCAAGCTGAGCGCCTACCCCTTGCGCCACTTCCGGTTTTCTGGCGGTTCATTGGAGATGAGAGTCTCACGGACTTTGCTGCCCGGGCTGGCTTTGCACCGCGATCCTCAGATCTCAGCCTCCTGAGTAGCTGGGATGACAGGCGGGAGCCACCGGCCCGGCCGCCAGGCCCTTTAAATAGCAGGGGGAAAAAGGTAACGGGGAAAGACAGACAGACAGACAGACACACACACACGTGAGGAACTAAGTATCCAAGTATGCACCGGGCCGGGCGCCAGCGCCTGGCGGCGGGAGGCCTGAGTCCTCCAGCTCCAGTGGGAGCTTTGCGATTGGGTTGTGGTGGTGGTGCTTGTCCCTTTGGATTCTGACGTTGTGAGGACGCGTGGAGCTGACAGCTGCTCTTCCCACAGGCCGAGGACATGACTAAGTCTGTGAGGGGATGAATATGCTAATTCTTGTTCCTCTATAGTAACCATTTTACTCTAGTGTATACGTATTTCAGAACATGATGCTGTCTACCTCAACCTCACAAGCTCTGTCAATGCCCATCAGAGGCCCAGTTGCTCTGGAGGCTGAGATAGGGTGACCATTGAACCCAGGAGTTCGAAGCTAGCCTGGGTTATAGGTTATAGTTTATATAGGCTAACACCTATAATCCTAGAAAACTAGGAAGCTGAGATCCAGACGCTCAAGGTTCAAAACCAGCCTGGGCAGAAAAATCTGTGAGACATTTATCTCCAAAAATAGCTAGGAAAAAGCCAGGATGAAGATATGGCTTAAGTGGTAGAGCATCAGCCAAGCAAGTGAAGCGAGAGCTAGAGGTTCTGAGTTCAAACTCCAGCAGAAAGAAGGGGGGGGGGGCTAACTAGGCTATCTGGGTAAAAATAAGAGGTGAAGGAGAAAGGAAAGGTGCATTTTAGCATCCAAAGATGAGCTAGACAGGTAACAGTGACCAGATAATTCTACAGAAATCCTCCCAAAGGATCAAGTAGAACAGCACCCCACATAGAAGAGGAGAAATGGTTCCCCAGTTCAGGCACAGGCTAGGGGTGGTCTGGCCAGGCAGCTGGTCCCCCATCTGGGGACTTACCAGGGCCTGAATGTGACCTCCACAGCAAGGAAAGCAGCCACACTTCCAGACTGTCTGCATCACCCAGATGAGCCCCAACCCTGACAAGTCCCTGTCTGGAAGTCAGGAAGTGCCCTAGAATAAATAATAGCAAGCCAGGCTCTGGTGGTTCACACCCCTAATCTCAGGAAGCTGAGATCTGAGGATGTCAGTTCAAAGCCAACCCAGGCAGGAAAGCTCATGAGACCCTTAGCTCTGATGAAGCACCAAAGTAGTTGGAAGTGGAGTTGTGGCTCAAATGGTAGAGCACTAGCCTTGGGCAAAAAACCTCAAGGACAGCTCCCAAGGCCTTGATTTCAAGCCCCTGAGTGCGCGCGCACGCACGCACACACACACACACACACACACACACACACACACACACACACACACACAAGTTCCATTAGGTATGAAACATGGCATTGAGATTACACAGGAAAGTGTGCTGATTGGTTTTTCAGAGATGCACCTTGCAGTATTTAGAAATACCGATGTCTTGCCAGGCATGGTGGCACATGTCTGTAATCCCAGCTACCCTGGAGGAGTGTGATCAGAAGGATCACGATTTACAACCACTCTGGACAGAAAAGTTTACAAGACACTTTCTCAAGAAACTCATATGTACTGGTCATCCCAGCTCCAATGGGAAGCCAAACACACACACACACACACAAACGCACACGCACACACGCACGCACACACGCATGCACACGCGCCCACACACACGCACACACGCACACACACACACAGAGCAACAACAGGAACTTTGGTGTGAACTACATCTCTGCCCCTTCCTGCTGTGTGCGCTTCCTCCGGCGTGGTGACTTCGGCTCTCTGTGCTGTGGTTTCCTCCACTGCATAACAAAGTTTCAGCGAGTGTGCCAGCACCAAGTTTCTTGTGTCTTAAATGTCATGTCTTCTAGGCACATTCTCATTGGACTCGAACTCTGTCGCTTTGTCCTTTTCTGGCCCTTCAGTGCCAGTCACCAACCAAGGGCCATGTTCCAGCAGTCAGGGGTCACATCTGATTGTGCCACTTCCAAAGGGCTGATGACGAACCCGCTGGTCCCCGGGTGGCCTCGGCCCTTTCCTGTCATCCCCAGCGGGAGCTGGTGATCAGCAAATGCATACAGGTCTCTTGACCTCACAGAGAAGCAGAAATCGGGGCTCGACTTCACTGGGCTTTAGTCCTGGTTCCTGTGTGAGCTTGGACAATAACCTGAACCCCTCTGGGTCCAAAAGAAGGTTGAGAGAAGAATATCTGTAGCCGGGCCAGATGCTGGTGGCTCACGCCTGTCATCCTAGCTTTGATTCAGGAGGCTGAGATCTGAGGATCACAGTTCAAAGCCAGCCCGGGCAGGAAAGTCTGTGAGACTCTTATCTCCAATGAACCACCAGAAAACTGGAAGTGGCGCTGTGATTCAAGTAGTAGAGTGCTCATCTTGAGCTGAAGAGCTGAGGGACAGCGCCCAGGCCCGGAGTTCAAGTCCCACAGTTCTAGTCCCACAAGTATATCAGCTTCCCCCAGGGCTGCCTGGAGACTTTGATAACTTGTGTGTCTGTTTTGCCAGTCCTGAGGCTTGAACCCCGCCTGGGCGCTGTCCCTGAGCTGCTTTTGTTCAAGGCTAGCGGCTCTACCACTTGAGCCACAGCGCCACTTCCAGCTTTTTCTGTGTTTGTGGTACTCAGCAATCGAACCCAGGGCTTCGTGCGTGCTAGGCAAGCACTCTACCACTGAGCCACCTTCCCAGCCTTGTCCCTGAACTCGTTTCCTCAAGGCTAGTGCTCTAACCCTTGAGCCACAGCTCAACTTCCGGCTTCTTGGTGGTTGATTGGAGATAAGAGTCTCAAGAACTTTTCTGCCCAGGCTGGCTCCGAACCTTGATCCTCAGAGCTCATTCTCCTAAGTAACTAGGGTGACAAGTGTTAGCCACCGGCACATGACCCTTTTCTTTTTTTCCTCTTTCTGGGGCTTGAAATCAGGGGCTAGACCCTGTCCCTGAACTTTTTCTTTTTTTGCTCAAGGCTGGTGCTCTACCACTTGGACCATGCTTCTAGCTAACTGAGAATGGAGTTTCACAGATTTTCCTGACCAGGCTGGCTTTGACTAGCAAGCCTCTAGTTCTCAGCCTCCTGAGTGGCTAGGCTTATAGGTATGAGCTACGGCGCCCAGCCCTGGTGTACTTTGAAGACAGGATGTTACATGGCCCAAATTGAGTCACTGTGGACTCCTGGGCTCTACAGATCCCTTGGCCTTGGGTCTGTAGCTGGGATTACAGGTGTGCATCGCGACACCCGGATGGGGTATCCGTGCCTGCCAGGGGTCTGGCTGTCCCCTCTCGAGCTTCTGGTGTCTGTGCTCTTGGTGCAGAATATAAATGAGGGATTTGTGGCCTCCTTGTGTGGAAGGTGACAGAGCGCTGAGTCCTGACCCGCCGTCCCCGGCGAAAGGTTATCTCTTGATGGAAGACCGTGAAAGGTCGGGTTGCGGGGGAGTCATACCCGTCTCCCTTCTGTTGGGAGGTTGATAAGAGAGGTCACGGTCTTCCTTCAGGCAGGGTGGGGGGAGCCATGAGGTATAAATGGGGGACCTGAAAGCTGGGGGATGCTGAGCCACCTTCCCGCCCGAGGCGTCTCTGTGCAACATGGCCAAGTGCTCGCTGCTGCTGCTGCTGCTGCTGCTGCTGGGCTGGGTGCTGCCCGGGGACCTGGCGCGGGGGGCCGAGGCTCGAGCGGCGCCCTATGGGGTGAAACTCTGTGGCCGAGAATTCATCCGAGCTGTCATCTTTACCTGTGGGGGTTCCCGGTGGAGGCGCGGGGACTTCCTGACCCATGACTTGCTGGGTGAGTCTTGGGGGGCGGAGGGGCCTGGCGTACCTGTGGGTCCCTGGAGTCGGGGACAGGGGCTCAGGGAGATGACAGAGAGGTAGCGTGTCTGCCCACTACCTTCATGGCTGCTGAGCTGCCAGATTCCAAAATGGAAAAACTGACTTCTTTGGCTCATGCCTGTAAAATCCTAGCTACTCAAGAGACTGAGATCTAGGGATCAAGGTTCGAAGCCAGCCCGGGCAGGGAAGTCTGTGAGACACATTTTTTATTTGTATTTTTTGGTAGGTCTTGGGGCTTGAACTCTAGGCCTGGGCGCTGTCCCTCAGCTCTTCAGATCAAGACAAGTGCTCTACCACTTGAGCCACAGCACCACTTCTGGTCTTCTGGTGGTTCATTGGAGATCAGAGTCTCAGGAGTCTGCGCTCCTCAGATCTCAGCCTCCTGAGTTGCTGACAGGTGTAAGCCACCAGCGCCTGGCTTGAGATTATGTCCAGCAAAAAGCCAGAAGGGAAGCTGTGACGAGTGGTAAAAAGCTAATGGGTAGCACCTATGCCCTGAGCTCAAGTCCCAGCACTCACACACACACACACACACACACACACACACACACACACACAGATCGGCTTTCCAAGTAGGTAGAATGAAGGCAGGATTTGGACAGCTGGTGTGCGATCTCCCTGGCATCAGACTTCCCCTCACTGAGCCATGCATCCGGCCCTGTGGTGAGCACTGCAGGGTACCCCAATGCACCCGTGAAGTCTCAACAGATAAAGCTGGGGTCCACGGGGTCCAGAGGGCAGGAAATGGAGTTTCCCCAGAGGAGGAGGCCTGGGAAAAGAATACTTACCATGAAGAAGATGATGATGATGGAGAGATGGCAGAGATGGAGGAAGGAAAGATGGGGGGATGGATGGATGGAAGAAAGACTATGGAAGATGGATGGATGGATGGATGGATGGATGGATGGTAGATGGATGGAGGACGGCTGGCTGGATGGAAGGTGGATGGATGATGGATGGGTAAGTGGACATGAAAGATTCTAAAAGCTGCAGCCTTGGCTATGTGTTCCCCCACGGTTCCCTCAGGAGCCACGCCCCTCTTTGGTAAGTAGGTGACCCATGAACAGCAGATCCTGGGGTGGTCCTTGGGAGAAGGGACATGTAAAATAGCACTTGGCAAACCGTAAGAATTCAACAACCGTGATCACTGTGTGTGTGCGTGTGTGTGTGTGTGCGTGTGTGTGTGTGCCATCCTAGGGTTTGAACTCACAGCCTGCGTGCTGTCTCTGTGGTTTTTCTTTTGTTTGCTCATGGTGGGCCTTTACTGCTTGAGCCCCAGCTCCCCTGAGCAGAATTCACTCCTGGAGTTCACAAGATGCGATCCCAAGCCCCGACAGATCCCCTTGTGGACTGGGGATGGTCTCCTGGGGCTGAGCCCAGGGAACCCCTAGCCCTGTGGTTCTTCTTTCCTTGGCAGGAGAGGTGTTCTCAGACACAGATTCGGGAGCAGAGAGCCTGGCGGGCGAGAGGGACGAGGCCGTGGGCTCCAGCGAATGGCTGTCCCTCACCAAGCCCCACCAGGCCTTTGATGAAGGCCGGCTGAGCTGGCAGGGCCCCCCGGGGGCTCCGCGGGGCGGCCGGGATGTCCTGACCGGCCTCTCAAGCAACTGCTGCAAGTGGGGTTGCAGCAAAAGTGACATCAGCAGCCTCTGCTAGGCTGGGGGTGCGGGCACCTGCCCGATGGGCATTACTCCATCCACAAGGGCAGGGTCCAGCAGCTCTGGGCTGGGGGGGGTCATTCTCTCCTGAACCCCTTCCCCCTATCCAGCCATGATCCCTGACCAGCCTGGCCTGACCCTGGGCCCCAAGATCCCAGCCTGACCCACCAGGGCCCCCCCACACCTGCGGGGTACATCTGTGTCCTGACTCATCCCAAATTAGCCACCTCCAGACCTACTGCCTATCTCCCCCCCCATTATGGATTATGGCCACTTTCCCTTGGCCAGCCCAAATGACATCCATTTCCCCTCCACACACACCCCCGCTGGGCACCCGAAGGACAGCATCAGAGTCCCTGTACCCCACTTCCCTGAACCCCAATAATAAAAGTTACTTGCAGAGCGAGTTGTGTGTCATTGGGCCGAGTGAGCAGGGGAAGGGGAAGCAGATCTTGGGGGTCGGGGTGCATGCCCCCATGATGCTCTCTGGCTGCCTCTGCACCCCTCCCCAGCCGGCCGCGCTGTGATGGGGTTTCCCCGCTGGGAAGGGGCGGGGACGCGGGGGGGGGGGCGGCGGCGGCGGCGGCTGCGCTTCCCGTCCCGCCTCCCCTGGGTCGGGGACTCGCGCGCTCCAGGGGCCAGGCCACGCCGTGCGGAGCCGCACGGGGTCCCCGGGGAGCCATGCGGGGGACCCCCGCCGTCCCCTTCTGGCCCTGGCCGAAGCTGGCGCTGCTGCCGGTGGCGGTTTTTGTGCTGTGCCGAGGGACGCGGCCCCAGGGTGAGTGGTGACACTTGGGTGGCACTTGGCGACGCGCGTGCGCGCTGGCGCCCCGGGAGCCGGGAGCGGGGCGCAGGGCGCGGCGCGGGGTGCCGGGCGGGGGTGAACCCTCGAGGCGATAACAGGATGTGGCTGGCAGAAGAGAAGATGACCCATTTTACCCTCCCCCCCTCCGCCAGCCTGGAGCTGGATCCGGGAGCCCAGCACCCCCTTCCTGCTCCTCATTTCTTTCAGGGACCCCCCCCCAGCGTGCGGGCCATCATTAGAAGCCCGGGAAAGTGGAAGTGGGGTGGGGATGCGATTCGGGGGTATGACGCTTGCCTGTCTGGGCCAGGCCTGTGCTTCCAGCCCTCAGCTTAGGAAAGTTGGGGTGCACAGGCGGCGGTGGGGAGGAAGGGTGTGAGCCCCTTGCTTGGGCCCCTCTGCAGGCAGGACGGGGCCCCTGCGGTGTTACACAGTTGGCCCCTCGGGGGACCTGCACTGCTCCTGGGAGCCTCGTGGGGACCTGGGGAGCCCTTCTGTGCTTCACCTCCAGAGCCAGAAATAGTGAGTACTCCTGGGGTGTTTTGGGGAAACTGAGGCACTTGAGTTCCAGTTTGCCCTAGGTCCTGCTTCCCCCCCTCCCACCCTTCCTCAAGTCCAACTCCCCTACTCTAGGTTCCCCTCCTTTCCTCTCTGTCCCCTCTACCCACCCACCCCCGTTTTTTTGACAGTTGTGGGGCTTGAACTCTGTCTCTCAGCTCTTCGGCTCAAAGCGAGCGCTCTACCACTTGAGCCACAGCGCCACTGCCAGTTCACTTGTGGCTTTGTTGGAGATAAGAATCTCACAGATTTTTCCTGCCAGGCTGGCTTTGAACCACGCACGATCCTCACATCTCAGCTTCCTGAGTAGCTGGGATGACAGGCGTGAGTTACAGACACCTATCTGTGTGCCCCTCTTAATCTACGATCTTGGAGGGGTGAACTCTTGCACACCTGGTAGCCTAGCTCACTGGAGGCTGGGACAAGAGGATTGTCAGTTCAAGGTCAGCCTGGAGCTAAGGAGCAAGACCCGGTCTCCAAATAAATACATTGCACAAATAACAGTAGTTAGCTTTAGGGTTCGCTCTGGGGGTTCAATCACTTAAGGATATGACAAGAAGGAAATGTTTAAGAATATGAAGTGAGCTGGGTGCAGTGGCTCCCGCCTGTCATCCCAGCTACTCAGGAGGCTGAGATCTAAGGATCACGGTTCAAAGCCAGCCCAGGTAGGAAAGTCCAGGAGACTCTTATCTCCAATTAACTAGCTGGAAATGGCACCATGGCTCCAAGTGGTCCAGCCCTGAGTGAAAAAAAAAAAAAAACAAAACCAAAAACTGAGGGAGAGTGGCCAGCCTAGGGGGGCTTCGCGCCCCAACAGTGCAGGCCTCAGGTGGGTGCGTGTGGGTGTCACGTGTGTGATGCGCCTTGGCCCAGGCCGGTGTGGGTCCTTCCTTTGCATCCGTCCCCACAGCCATTCTCACAGAGCCTGGAAGGTGGCAGTGCCCGCTGGGCAGCACCGGGTGACCATTCCCCGGGGACACCTCACCACGGCCGACAGACTCCTCGTCTGGGGAACCCAGGCAGACCAACCTCTCTGGCCCCAAGTCTCCGTGAACCTAGAAACACAAAGTAATGTGCCAGGAAGTTTGGGGTGCTGTGGGACGTGGTCCTGGGGGGTCCCCTTCCCCCTCCTCAGTGTGCCCTGGCTCACCCTCCCGCAGTGAGACCCGATGCCCTCCGCCTCCAGCCTGATGTGGAGTTTTCAGAGCACCCACCCCTGGAGGCCTCTCTGCAGTGGGCACCCCCGCGGTGGCCCCCCCACAAGCCTCTCACCTGCCAGTTCCGCTACCGGAGGTGTCAGGAGGCCAACTGGACCCTGGTGAGTGTCAGCAGCAAGACACACACACACACACACACACACACACACGCACACACACACACATGTCTCATCCCAAGCAAGGCTGGGCTCGCAAGCTGATGAGTCTCTTTGCTCACACCTGTAATCCCAGCTCCTCAGATGGCTGAGCTATGCGTGAGGATCTGGTTCAAAGCCAGCTGGGGTAGGAACGTCTCAAAGATTCTTCTTTTTTTTTTTGGTTGGTCATGGGTCTTGAACTCGGGGCCTGGGCGCTGTCCCTCAGTTCTTCAGCTCAAGGCGAGCGCTCTACCACTTGAGCCACAGCGCCACTTCCGACTTTTTCTGCTTATGTGGTGCTGAGGAATCGAACCCAGGGCCTCAGGCATGTGAGGGAAGCGCTCTACCACGGAGCCACCTTCCCAGCCCTCGAAGACTCTTATCTCCCACGGATTAGCAAAAAAAGCAGAACGTAGAGCTGTGGCTCAAGTGGTAGAGCGCCAGCTTTGAGCACAGAGCTCCAGGACAGCGCCCAGGCCCAGAGTTCAAGCCCCAGGACCGACAACAAATAAAACTTAAAAAATAAAGCTTCCCTTGGGCCACCCCTCCCATCTTGTCTCTCAGCTGCAGCCTGAACTAAAGACCATTCCGATGAGCCCTGTTGAGATTCAGGATCTTGAACCTGCCACCAGCTACAATGTGTCAGGCCGCTGCCGAGTGGAGGAAGCGGAAGATCTGTGGGGCGAGTGGAGCCCCGCCCTCTCCTTCCAGACCCCGCCCTCTGGTGAGCCCCGCCCCGCCCTCTGGGGAAGCCCCGCCCATATCTCCACCCCTGGGGACGCCCCGCCCTCGCCCCGCCCCTCCTGGAAAACCTGGCCAATCACGGCTTCTCTCATCTGCTCCTTCCTCTCCCCTGGTTTGCTAGGGCCCAATGATATGTGGGTATCAGGGAACTTCTGCCAGACTTGGGGTGCCCAGGAGGAGCTCCTGCTTCTGTGGAAGGTAAACTGGAAAAACCCCAAGTAACAATGCTAGAAATAAGACAGTTCCAGGCGCAGGTGGCTCACGCCTGCCATCCCAGCCACTCAGGATGCTGAGGTCTGAGGATCGCAGTTCCAAGCCAGTCCAGGCAGGAAAGTCTGTGACACTCTTGTATCCTCCTTGTTTATTTATTTATCAGTTTATCTACTTAATGCTGTGATCCTGTGATCCCATCCAGATCATTGTATATAATCAACAGCAGCCCTACCACTGAGAAACATCTCCTGCTTCCATGTTTATTTACTATGTTAATAAATGTTATGGGAGGAAAAAAAAAATGAAGCCAGGCACTGATGGCTCACGCTTGTAATCCTAGCTACTCTGGTGTCTAAGACCTGAGGATCAAGGTTCAAAGCCACCCCGGGCAAGAAAGTCCGAGAAACCCTTATCTCCAATGAACTACTAGAAAACCAGAAGTGGAGCTGTAGCTCAAAGTGGTAGAGCAAAAGAGCTCAGGGGACAGCATCCATGACCTGAGTCCAAGCCCATGTCAGAGGGGGAGGGGAAGGGAGGGAAGGAGGGAGGCAGGAGGGAGGGAGAGAAGGACAGGTTTGACCCCGGATCCTCAGATCTCAGCCTTCTGAGTAGTCAGGATTACAGGCTGGAGCCACCGATGCCTAGCTTAGTGTTCTAATTCTAGCATTAGGTAGAAAAGGAAAAGGAAATAAGATTTGCTACATAAGGACAAAAGATTCAGTTCCCAGGATGACACAAGAGTCATAAATCTGTATGTACCCAATAACATGGCTTCAGACTCATAAAGCAAAACATCCGCAGCACTTCAGGAGAAAACCCTGAATTCATAAACATGGTGAGGGCTTTTAACACAGACTCTCTCTCTCTCTCTCTCTCTCTCTCTCTCTCTCTCTCTCTCCCCCCTCCTCCTCCTCCTTCTTCTTCTGTCTTGGGGCTTGAATTCTGGGCCTGGGCGCTGTCCCTCAGCTCTTCAGCTCAAGGCTAGTGCTCTACCACTTGAGCCACAGCGCCACTTCGGGCTTTTTCTGTGTATGTGGTGCTGAGGAATTGAACCCAGGGCCTCATGCATGCAAGGCAAGCGCTCTACCACTGAGCCACCTTCCCAGCCCCCCCCCCCCCCTTAGTAATTTCGTATCAAGCAGATGGGAAACAAATTAGGGTCTAGAAAATCGGACCTCACCAAGATGCCCGGTTGAGGTCTGGTTTATGGAGGAGACATTAACCTCTTCCTTCTCTCCGTCATCAGGCCTCTGGCTTGTGTGCCCAGGTGAGCTACACGGCCTGGTTCTGGCTTGCAGAGAAGAGTGTGAGGGAGGAAGGCATCTCCTGTTGTCATTTTCTCATCCCCGCCCGGGCAGAGTGGGCATCGGTGTCCGCTGACAATGCCATTCCCTGGGCACCACTCACCAATCTCTCTTTGCTCTGCTTGGGTAAGTTAGACACCTCAGCCAAGGGCTGGTAGCTCACGCCTGCAGTCTCAGCTACTCAGGGAGGTTGAGATCTGAGGATCACAGTTCAAAGCCAGCCTGGGCAGGAAACATCCGTGAGACTCTGATGTCCAATGAACTATCAGAAAATGAAAAGTGGCACTGTGGCTCAAAGTGGTAGAGCGCTAGCCTTGAGCATACAAAGCTCAGGGACAGCGCCCAGGCTCTGAGTTCAAGTCCTGGCACTGGCACATATATACAAAAATTAAAAAAGATCATGAACTCCCTGTGCCCAGGAGGGCAGAAGGGCACCGCGCCGCAGCAGCCGAGGCTTTTCCCTCCCTCCCTTCTAGCTCCGGAGTCTGCCCCTCGTGGCTTGCAGGTCAGAGGCCTTGCCGGGGGCATGGAGCTGCTGGTGACCTGGGAACCGGGAACCGGGGAGGTGTCTGAGTTTGTGGTGGACTGGAAAAGAGACGGTGACCCTCGGGAGACCCTCAGCTGGATCCGGTGCTCCCCCAGGAACCGCAGTGCTGTGCTGCCAGGTGAGGCCTCGGTACCTCCAGGAGGGCCTCAGTCCACTTTCCATTGCTGTGACAAAACGCCCGAGGCATTGAGTATAAAGAACAGAGGTTTGCTCTGCTCATCCTTTGGAGACGGGAGCCCATGACGCTGGCTCTATGCTGGCAGGGGACCGTGGTGGGACCCCAGGACAGAGGGGCTAATCACAGGGTGCCGCAGGAAGTCAAAGTGGGTTCTAAGTGTGATGTAAAAGCTGGGGCTGGGTGGCTCCCTCCTGTAACCTCAGCTACTCAGGAGGCTGAGGTCTGAGGATGGAAATTTGAAGCCAGCCCTGCCTAGTAGGAAAGTCCATGCAAGTCTTATTTCCAGTGAACCACAAATGGAAAACCCGAAATGGAGCTGTGATGTAGTGCGAGAGCAAAAAGTGATTTTTTTTTTTTTTGGACAGTTGTGGGTCTCGAACTCTGAGCCTACACGCTGTCCCTCAGTTCTTCAGTCCAAGACTAACTAGTGCTCTATCACTTGAACCACAGCACCACTTCTGGTTTTCTGATGGTTCATTGGCGATAAGAGTCTCACAGACTTTGCTGCCTGGGCTGGCTTTGAACCGCAATCCCAGATCTCAGCCCCCTGAGTAGCTAGGATGACAGGCATGAGCCACCGGTGCTTAGCTTGAATATATATATATTTTTTTTGTCGGTCGTGGGGCTTTTTTGTCGTCTGGGCCTGGGCGCTGTCCCTCAGCTCTTCAGCTCAAGGCGAGCGCTCTACCACTTGAGCTACAGCGCCACTTCCGGTTTTCTGGTGGTTTATTGGAGATAGGTGTCTCACGGTCTCTCCTGCCCGGGCTGGCTTTGAACCGTGATCCTCAGATCTCAGCCTCCTGAGTAGCTAGGATTACAGGCGTGAGCCACCAGCGCCCGGCGAATATTTTTTTTTTTTAAACCCAACCAAGTTCAGCACTCAGATTATGGGTTCAAGGCCCAGGATTGGCACACACACACAAAAATAATAAGCCAGGTGCTGGTGGCTCACGCCTGTCATCCTAACTACTCAGGAGGCTGAGATCTGAGGATCATGGTTCAAAGCCAGCCCAGGCAGGAAAGTCCATGAGACTCTTTTTTTTTTGGGGGGGGGGTCCGGTCGTGGGGCCTGAACTCTGGGCCTGGGCGCTGTCCCTCAGCTCTTCAGCTCAAGGCTAGCACTCTACCACTTGAGCCACAGCACCACTTCCAGCTTTTTTCTTTTTGCTTATGTGGTGCTGAGGAATCGAACCCAGGGCCTCAGGCATGCAAGGCAAGCGCTCTACCACTGAGCCACCTTCCCAGCCCATCCATGAGACTCTTATCTCCAATAAACCACCAGAAAACTAGAACTGGGGGCTGGGAAGGTGGCCCAGTGGTAGAGCGCTTGCCTTGCATGCCTGAGGCCCTGGGTTTGATTCCTCAGCACTGCTGGAAGTGGCGCTGTGGCTCAAGTGGTAGAGCACTAGCCTTGAGCTGAAGAGCTGAGGGACAGCGCCCAGGCCCAGAGGTCAAGCCCCATGGCTGAGAAAAAAAATAAGTAAATAAATAAAATAAATAAAAGGAATAAATAAGAGCAAGTATGGGGGGTCCATGAAATCTTAATTTCTTTCTTTTTTCCTCTCTCTCTATTTTAAATTTTTTTTTGTCAATCCTGGAGCTTGAACTCATGGCCTGGGCGCTGTCCCTGAGCTTCTTCTGCTCAAGGCTAGCGCTCTATCACTTCAGCCACAGCGCCACTTCCAGCTCTTTCTGTTTATGTGGTGCTGAGGAATGGAACCCAGGGCTTCGTGCATGCCAGGCGAGCACTCTACCACTGAGCCACCTTCCCAGCCCCTCCCTGACTCATTGCTTAACTGTACTGCTTTTTCCAGGGGTCACCTCCAACCTGGAAATAAATGACTTACACACCCCAAGCTTTGTCTGGGGTGTTCTGCTGGGGACCTGGGCGTGCAGGAAGTGACCAAGTGGGGGGGGCGGGGTTCGTCTCTGAGAGGTTTTGCCTTTCTCCACCAAGCAGGGGAGTTCGAAGGAGGGGTCCCTTACCAGATCAGGGTGACAGCTGTCTCCCCAGTGGGCTTGGCCCCGGCCCCTGCGGTCTGGGGGTTCAGAGAGGAACGAGGTAAGCAGGGTTTGGAGGATGGGCTGGGGGAGGGGAAGGGGCCCTAGAACTCAGGCAGAACCTGACTGACCCAGCTCTTCCCTCCAGCACCTCGAGTGGGCCCGGCACTTTGGCGGCTCCGAGATGACCCCCCGGGGATCCCCGCTGTAGCCTGGGGAGAAGTCCCGAGATCCCTGCTCCGGGGTCACCTCACCCATTACACCTTGTGTGTGCAGAGCCGGACCAGAGCCCCCTTCTGCAGGAACGGTAAGCGCTGCCCAGCCCACCCGCGGACCCCACCCGCGGACCCACCGGCTGACCCTTGCCTCCCTCAGGCCTCAGGAGCCACAGAACGTTCCCCAGAACGCAGTGGCTCTCTTGGCTGTGAGTGGGATGGACTCCCATTGGGCCATTCAAAATGAAGACTGAGCGCAGTGCCAGCGGCCAGGCGGGGCAAAGGCCCTGTGGCAGGACTTCAGCACGTTCCCCTCCTCTCTGCTTGTGTCCTTCAGTGAGCAGCAGCACCCAGACTGTCACTCTTCCTGACCTTCCCTCCGGTCCCTGCGAACTGTGGGTGACCGCATCCACCAGCGGCGGACAGGGCCCACCTGGGCCCAGCCTCCGCCTTCACCTGCCAGGTAGAGAGGCCGGGGAGGGACTGTGGGCTCCCTTGGAGGGCCGCAGGGCGCATCCGTTTGGATGGCTGAGCTGGAGACGGAGGCCAGGGCCTCCAGCTTGCTGAACACGGCTCCCAGCCTGCCTCGCCGGAATTTCCTTCCCATGCTGCGGGTTTTGTGTAGCAGCGAGTCTGGCTCCATCTCTGCCCTTGATCACCTTCATTTCCCCACCCTTGGCCCCGCCCGCGAGCCACGCCCCCACCAGTTCCCCCAGCCACGCCCTCCCCAGATTGCCTCACCCGTAGTCCCGCTCCTTCCCAAGAGTCCCCACCCCCACCGACAAGCCACGCCCCTACGCATGATTCTTCTGCACACAAACCCCGCCCCATTCCAAGATTCATCCTATTTAGCTCCGCCCAGCAGCAGCCACGCCCCCTTCCCCAGCCCAGAGGTGGGTTCCTCTCACTTGGCCACACCCCTCAAAGCCCCTCCCTGACCCAAGATGATCTTACTCTTAGCCCCTCCCATTAGCAGACCACGCCCCTTCGTGAGTTCTCACTGTGGCCACACCCACCCAAAGCCACGCCCCTCGAAGATTGCCTTCGCCTTAGTCACAGCCATTCACAAGCCCCACCCCTTCTCACACTTTTCCCGTCTACTCACAAATCCCGCCCTGTTCCAAGTCATCACCCTAGCCCCGCCCACCCACAAGCCACACCCACTTCCCACGGGTCGCCCCCCTCCCGTCCTGGTGTGCAGCCCTCCCCCCTCCCGCCCCAGCAGATAACACCCTCAAGTGGAAGGTGCTGCCCAGCGTCCTCTCCCTGTGGGCTTTGCTCCTGTTGGGCTGCGGCCTGAGCCTGGCCGCCTCCAGTAGGTGAGGCTGTCTGTCCGTCAGTCTGTCCATCTGTCTGTGCAGGTGTGTGTGTGGGCATCCTGAGCTGATGGGCGGCCTCGGAGCTGTGGGATGGTCTGGGATCTCGGGGTGTCTTCTGGGGCCCTGACTCTCACCTCCCCAGCAGGTGCTTCCACTTGCGACACAAGATATTGCCCCAGTGGGTCTGGGAGAAGGTTCCAGATCCTGCCAACAGCCATTCTAGCCAAGGCCCCATAGAGGTAAGCAAGAAGGTGGGCTGCCAGAGTCTTGTCAGGGAAGGGGGGTAAGGGGGGGTTACGGGGGTCCTGGGGGACCAGGATCCCCGGTTGCAGCAGCCTCTCCCTCCAGGAGGTGTTCCAGCCGCAGCCCCCCCAGGACTTGCCCATCCTGGAGGTGGAAGAGGTGGAGCCCCCACCCATCGGGAAGCCCCTCAAGGCCTCCGCCCCACTTCACTCAGGGTACGAGAAGCATTTCCTGCCTACACCCGAGGAGCTGGGCCTTCTGAGGACCCCCAGGGCCCCGGTGCTGGCCTGAGCCTCCCCCCACCCCCACCCCCCACCAGGGGCCTCCAGGTCCCCTGGGTGTCCGTGAGACAGAATGCCCGCCTCCCTTGCAGCTATGCGCTGGACTAAGGTCTCCACAAAGTGGAGAAGTGATGGCGGGGGGGGGGGGGGGGGGGGGGGGGGGGGGGAGGAGACCTGCACGCTCTTCCTATGTGCCAAGCCCCCACGGTGGAGACCTCAGGGAACCGAGCCAGACCCAGAAATGGAAACAAGCCTGAATCCCTGGGCGGTGACCAGGATCAGCCCCTGGCGACACCCTCCTCCCTGCAGAACAGGAATGAAGCCCTAATAAACTTTTGTATTTTTGTAGCCATTGTAACTAGGTATCTTTTTGTTACAGCAATGGAATGGATACAATTGATACTCTCTGACTCCCAGCACTGTGCCACTTAGACTTTGTGCTTCCACTGGAGCTGGGATTACAGGGGTACACCCTGGCACCCAGCCATTGTCTGAGATGGAGTCTCTTTAACCTTTTTTAGTGGTGGGCTTGGAACTCTGGGCCTGGGCGCTGTCCCTCAGCTCTTCAGCTCAAGGCCAGCGCTCTCCCACTTGAGCCACAGCGCCACTGTCGGTTTTCTGGTGGTTTATTGGAGATAAGAGTCTCACAGACCTTCCTGTCTGGGCTGACTTTGAACCGGGATCCTCAGATCTCAGCCTCCTGAGTAGCTGGGATGACAGGCGTGAGCCTCCGGGTGCCCTGGCTTTAGTTTATGAGACAGAATCTCACCAAGTTTTCCAAGGCTGACTTGGACTTGGGATCTTCCTTCCACCTCTTGAGTAGCTGAGATTGCAGGCGTGTACCACCCCACCCAGCAGCCTCCTGATCACGGTGCACGCTGGCTAGCGGAATTCCGCTCTCCCTCAGTTAACCAGCAGATTGGGCAGTGCTGGGCACAGAGCCAAGCTGCTGGGTGCTTTAACCTTTTTATTTTCAAGTATAAAGACTGGGTTGCAGGAGGGGCCAGGCCGCAGGCGGTGGGCGCGGAGCCGGGAGCGGGTGGCAGCCTGGGTGCCGGGCGGCGAGGTAGCTGAGTGCGCGTGGGGCGGCGTGGCTCACATCACGGCGCAACACTGACACGTCTTTTGCTTGGGGCCGTTGGCCTCCCCGCCCTCGGCGGCCGCCGGCTGCCGGGCAGGGGCGTAGGTGGGCGCGGGGTGGGCGCTGGGCCTCTCCCGCGGGAGCAGAGGCTGGCTCTCGGGGGGCGGCGGCGGTGGGGCCGGGGTCTCTGTCGGGAGGGGGGCGGCCTCCCCTGCGGGGCCTTCGGCCGGGGCCTCGGCCTTCCCAGCTTCCTGCTCCGGGAAGCCCTCGGGCCTGACCCCGGGCCGCAGTCCTGGCTCCTCAGGTGTCTCCTCAGGCTGGACGCCCCCCTCCTCTCCCGGGGGTGCTGCGCTCTCCCCGGGCCCCCCTGAACTCGGCTTCTCCGGGGCCTCTGGGGGCTTCTCCTCCATACCTCCGCTCTCCCCATCCAGGGGCTCACTTTCCCTCCCCTCCCCATCTAGGGGTTCGCTTCCCCTCTCCCCATCCAGGGGTTCACTTCTCCTCTCCCCATCCAGGGGTTCGCTTCCCTGTATCTCCCCATCCAGGGGTTCGCTTCCCTTTATCTCCCCATCCAGGGGTTCGCTTCCCCTCCCATCCCCATCCAGGGGTTCGCTTCCCCTCCTCTCCCCATCCAGGGGTTCACTTTCCCTCCTCTCCCCATCCAGGGGTTCACTTCTCCTCTCCCCATCCAGGGGTTCATTTCCCTTCCTGTCCCCATCCAGGGGTTCGCTTCCCTGTATCTCTCCATCCAGGGGTTCGCTTCCCCTCCCCTCCCCATCCAGGGGTTCACTTTCCCTCCTCTCCCCATCCAGGGGTTCTCTTCCCCCCCTCTCCCCATCCAGGGGTTCTCTTCCCCCCCTCTCCCCATCCAGGGGTTCTCTTCCCCCCCTCTCCCCATCCAGGGGTTCTCTTCCCCTCCCCTCCCCATCCAGGGGTCCGTCGCCTGCCTTCCCTCGGGCCGCCGGGGTCCCCTCTACTTCCTTCTCCCCTCCCGCCTCCCCGCTGCCCTGTTCCTGCTCTCCCTGCGCGTGGGCCTCGGCCTCCGGTCTCGCGGCTGCGTCCGCTCCCGCGGGCCCCTCGCCCCGTTCCCCGTGGGCTCCTTCTTCCCCGCCTCCCCCGGGCCCTGGCTCGGCGGCCGCCCCAGCTTCCCTCTGCCCCGCCGGCCCCGGCGCCGCCTCGCCCCCGGCCCCCTCTCCCGTCCTCTCCACCTGCCCGGCCTCCACGACTCCCTCCGCCGCGGGCGCGGCCGTGGGCCCTTCCGGTCCCTCCGTGACCAGCTCCCAGTCCTCGGCCAGGGTCACCCTCTCCACCCAGATGAAGGACGCGGCCTCTCCCGCGGGGTCCCCGGGCCCAGGCGCCCCCGGGCTGCCCCCAGGCGCGCGCGCCGCCTCCACACCCGGGGCCTCCACACCCGGGGCCTCCACACCCGGGGCCTCCACACCCGGGGCCTCCACGCTGCTGCCTCCCAACCCCTCCCAGACCACCTCCACCCCAGCCCGGTCCGCCCTCACCCAGGCCGGCGCCCCGGGGCTGCCAGCCGCCTGCCGGGCCCCGATGGCCTCCTGGACCGCCGCCTCCACCTCGGCCTCCAGCTCGCGGCCCGTGGGCGCCGGGGCACTGTCCTCCGTGGGCCTCAACGCGGCCCACACCACCTCCACCACGCCGTCCCCTCTTTCGGCTTCCGCCGCGCGGTGCGGCGTAGCCAGGCTGGGCCCACAGTAGGGGCCGTTGGATTCCGAGGACGCCCCTGTCCCCGGGGCGGGGTGAACCCCAGGAGCCTCTTCTCTGGGCTCAGGGGGTGACCCAGGGGACACGGCCGCCGGCCGGGCCGGCAGGGATGCTCTCTTATCCCGATCGGTGTGGCCTGGGCACGAGAGTGGGAGGAGAAGAAAGGAGAGGGGTGGAGGGGCAGTCTTCACACTCCCATTCTGGGGGAGACCCCTCTCCACCCACCTAGGGCTTCCAACACCCACCTGCAGCGCTGGCTTCCATAGCGGGGTGGGAGAGGGGACGGTGGCCCTGCAAAGATGGTGGCGTCCAGGTCAGGCGGCTCCAGCCTCCATGCCAGCGGCCTGCTCACCTCCATGGTCCCCCAGACCCCCGACCCAACTCCACCCTGCGCCTCCGTGTGCCACCCTGCAATCTGAGACTGCACCCCCAAGACGTGCACAGAAGTCACAGGAGGCCAGGGGCCGGCAGCGCTTTGTTGTCCTTTGATCTGTGTCGGAGCCCAGTTTAGCCTCGAACTCTTCCCCTGTGGGCCTCAGACTCTCCATTCTCCTACCTCAGCCTCCTGAGAGCTGGGATGACAGGCCGGCGTGACCATACCTGGTGAGCCAGAGACTCAAACCTTTTGCCATTGCAACTTCTGAGATCCGAGGACCTCTGTTCAAAGCCAGCCAGGGCAGGAAAATCTGTGAGCCTCTGATCTCCAATTAACTACCAGAGAGTCGGAAGTGGAGGTGTGACTCAAGTGGTAGAGCACCAGCCTGAGCAAAAAAGCTTAGGGACAGCGCCCAGGCCCTAAGCTGAAGACTCAGGCATGGGGTGCATGTGTGTGTGTACGCATGCATGCACGCACACACACACACACACAAAGAGACAGCAAGAGGATGGGTTCAGAGAGGGGAGCTGGCCAGGCACCATTGGCTCACACCTGTAATCCTAGGGAGGCTGACATCTAAGGATCGCGGTTCAAAGCCAGCCCAGGCAGGAAAGTCCATGAGACTCCTATCTCCAATAAATCACCAGAAAACCGGAAGTGGCGCTGTGGCTCAAGTGGTAGAGCGCTCGCCTTGAGCTGAAGAGCTGAGGGACAGCGCCCAGGCCCAGAGTTCAAGCCCCACGACCGACAAAAGAAAAAAAAAAAAAAGAGAGAGGAGCTGGAGGCAGCGACGAGGGGCCTAAGCCAAGCGCCAGGGGTCCTCCGTTTTCTGCCTTTTCCGCCTTCGAGGCCCAGCCAGAGACATCCGATCACATTTTTTTACTGCATCCCTGAACGGGGCCATAATAACTACCATAAATCTAAGTTCCTTCAAGAGCTGGAAATATGACTCAAGTGGGAGTGGGCATGTCTTGGCCACAGTGGGCGTGGCTCTGATGTAAGGGGCGTGGCTCAAGAGACAGCAAGTGCAAGGTCCTGAGCTCAAACAGCGGTACTATGAGAGGGAGGGGAGAGAGACAGACAGAGAGACAGACAGACAGACAGACAGAGAGAGAGAAAAAGAGAGAGAGACAGAGAGAGAGAGAAAGAGAGAGAGAGAGAGAGAGAGAGAGAGAGAGAGGAGGGAGGGGGCTGGGAAGGTGGCTCAGTGGTAGAGTGCTTGGTTCCCATTCATGAGGCCCTGGGTTCCATTTTTCAGCACCACAGAAACAGGAAAAGCCGGAAGTGGCGCTGTGGCTCAAGTGGTAGAGCGCTTGTCTTGCATGCCTGAGGCCCTGGGTTCGATTCCTCAGCACCACATAAGCAAAAAGAAAAAAGCTGGAAGTGGCACCGTGGCTCAAGTGGTAGAGCGCTAGCCTTGAGCTGAAGAGCTGAGGGACAGCGCCCAGGCCCAGAGTTCAGGCTCCACAACCAACAAAAGAATGAAAGGAAGGAAGGGAAGGAGAAGGAAAGAGAGAGAAAGGAAATTAATAAAGAAGGAAAAAGAAAGAAAAGAGAAAGAAGAAAAGGACCAAAAGGCGCTGCGTAAAAACTTCTAGTCCAAAACTTCCTTCACAGTCTTGGCATGCCAGGGTATGCTTGTAAGCCCAGCACTGGAGAGGACACAGCAAGTGGAGGTCGAGTTTGAGGCCAATGTGGGCTGCACAGTGAGAGTCTATATCAACAAAACGAAATAAAGCTTTGGTCGCCCGTGGCTCCGGCTTGTCATCCTAGCTACTGAGGAGGCTGAAAGCTGAGGATCACAGGTCAAAACCAGCCTGGAGCAAGAAAGCCCGGGGAGACCCATCTCCAGTTAATCATGCACACACACACACACATACACCGCCCCAAAAAGAAGCCAGATACGGAGTTGGGGCTCCACTGTGGTAGACACCGGCCGTAGGCAAACGAAGCTCAGGGGCATCGCCCCGGCCCTGAGTTCAAGCTTCGGTTCAGACACACACAAATACAAAACTAAATCAATCCAGGCCCCTTCCTCCTGCCTGTGACCCCGTTCGCCCCGCACTTCGGGCCCGGAGACCCCGCGCGCCCCTCACCTGTCTGCGCCACGTGGGCCTGGCGGCGGGCCGGTGCTGGGCCCCGGTGGACGCGCTCTGCAGCAGCTGCAGCTGGGACTGGAGCCTGGGAAGGAAGAAAGGATTGGGGGGAAGGGCCTGCAGGGAGACCCCCCCAGCTTCCCGAGTGCAGGGCAGAGGCGAGGCTGGGCAGTGGGGTCCCACCCCCCCCAAACACACACCAACTCACGTGAACAAGCTGTCTTCCAGGCTGCGGATGCGAGTCTGAGCCTGGGCCTCGGGGGACGGGGAGTCCTCGGAAGTGGGGTCCCCCCGCGCCTCTGCCGCGCCGTCCATGAGCCACCGCTCGCGGAGGGACTTCCTCTGGGGCGGGAAGGGAGCCCCGGGGGGCGCGGGGTCCACAGGCCGCCCGCCCGCGGGAGGGGCGGGGTCCGCACCCACGTGGCCCCCAACGGGACCCCGTCCCCAGGGCGGGGCGCGCCTCCTCCACCTCCAGCCCGGAGGAGCCCACACCCCCTCTTGCACACCGCTTTCCAAAATGGCACGCCCGAAGGGAACCGGGCCCTCCCCCCGAACCCCAACCTCCCAGACCTCCCGCCCCGCCCCTCCCTGACCGGGGAGGGAGGACGCCCCGCAGGGGGCACGGCTGCCGACCCCCGGCCCGGCCCGGCCCGCGGTCCCCACCTTGAGCCGCTGCGCGCGGAGCCGCTCCTCCTCCAGCTCCCGGCGCGCCGCGCGGATGTCCTCCTGCAGCCGCCGCTTCTCCTGCGCACACGGCCGCGCTGCCCGGGCTGCGGGGGACCCCTGGGGTCCCCGCCGCCCGCCGCCCGCTCCACGGGGCTCCCCGGGGCTCCCGGGCGTCCAGCCCGGCGGGGAGGGGCGGGCGCTGACTCAGCACCCGGAGGGCGGGGCGCAGGGGGCGGGGCCGGCCACGCCCGGGACGCTGCGACGCCCCCGCGCCCAATGGGGGTCCGGAGCTGTCGGCGGGGCGGGGCCAGGGGCGGGGCCCTTAGGTGGGGCGGGGCCTGTTTTGGTAGGCGTTGCTGGTGGTGGGATGGGCCTATCGAGACGTGGTCTATTGATTTGAGGGCGGGGCTTGCAGATGGGGCGGGGCGTAGGGAGGGCCTGAGCCAAGCCAGAACTCAGGAGGGATCCAAGATTTCGGGTCCAGAGAGAGACGGGTCTAGATGCCAGGTGTCAAAGAGAGGGCTGATAAGAAGGCCCCCAAACGGGTGTGCAGATAGGAAGGTCCAGAGAGACTGGGGCGCAGAAGTGGAGACCGGAGAGATGGGGGCATAAAGTGGGGTTTAGGGAAATAGTGTGCAGCAATGGATCCAGAATGATGGGGTGCCAAGGTAGAGGGGAGGAAAGTGAGGTGCAGAATTGGAGATCAGAGTGGGGGTTCAAAAGCAGGGGGGGACACAAGTTCAGGTCAGAGAGATGGGGGTACAAATGTGGGACATGAAGATAAGGACCAAGACTAGTATTCGCATGCGAAGTGCGGAGATGGAGTTCCCCGATGGTTGAGTGGGGTGGGGAGATGACAGAGTTGGGGTGTATAGAGATGACAGGAGCAGAGGGCTCGGGGGTCTCCAGGATGGGAGGGGTCCAGGGAGACAGGAGAGGTGGGACTGAGAAGTGGGGTGTGTGGGAGGCGTGGATTGGGGGCCAGCCTTTGCCAATGCGGTGCTGAGGACGTTGGAGGGACAGTGTGTGTATAAGGGGAGGGGCGTGCAGTGAGCAGACAGAGGAGCTGGGGATGGGGTACTATGGACTTCGGTGGGGCCAGAACTCTCAACACTGCTCCCCCTCTTTCCAGGAATGCCTTCAGACATGGGAGACATCAAAGAAGGAACTTGGGGGGGAAATGAGAGCAAAGGGATCAGGCATCACTTACAGCGATGACTTCCAGCCGCTGCCTGTAGAGAGAGCTCTCAGCCATGGGCCTGTGGGAAGAGGGGGGAGGGCAGTTGCTGGGGGGCTCCCCAGGGACCCCAGCCCTCCCCTGCCTGACCGCTCGAAAGCCCCACTTTTGGCAGAGAATGCTGCATGAACACCCAGGGCTGTGCCTCAGTTTCCCCTTTGCACTGGGAGAGGTAGTCTGAGCAGTGGGTTTTAGGAGGAGGAAACGGAGACCATGACTCATTTAACTAAATCCTTTCGTGGGCTTGGAGCTGGCGGCTCTCGCCTGTCTTCCCAGCTACGCAGGAGGCTGAAGATCAAGCCTCAAAGCCAGGCAGGGCAGGAGAGTTTGTGAAACTCTTACCTGAAATGGACCACCAAAAAGCTGGGAATGGAGGTGTGACTCAAGTGGTGGAGCGCCAACCTTGAGCAGAAAAGCTCAGGGACGGCTTCCAGGCCTTGAGCAGAAAAGCTCAGGGACGGCTTCCAGGCCTTGAGCAGAAAAGCTCAGGGACGGCTTCCAGGCCTTGAGCAGAAAAGCTCAGGGACAGCTTCCAGGCCTTGAGTTCAAGCCCCAAGACCCAACACACACACACACACACATAGGGAAATTTTATTTTTTTTCTGTTGATCGTGGGACTTGAACTCAGAGTCTGGCGCTGTTCCTAAGGTTTTACACAATGCTTTGAGCCACAGCTCTAGTTCTGGGTTTTTGAGTGGTTAATTGGAGATAAGAGTCTCATAGGAACTTTTCTGCCCAGGCTGTGAACCTTGATCCTCAGATCTCAGCCTCCTAAGTAGCTAGGATGACAGGCGTGAGCCACCAGCGCTGGGCATACACACAAACATCCTGCCAGGTTCCCAGCATGGCTGAAGGCATCTGGCCAGCTCCTCATCCTATCTGAACCTCAGCTCCTTTCCAGAATCCCTGAAGTGATTGTGGATGGGGGGGAGGGAATCTGAGCTGAGAAATGTCCACCTCACGGTTGTCATAGTAACCTCAGTCACCACGCCTCCTTCTTGGAGTCAAGGGTCACTGGGTCATCTGGCCCAGAGCTGGACTCTGAGCTTCAACTAGGGGGACTAGTGGTTTAAGGTTTAACCTGAGATCCTCCCCCATTCTTGTCCTCCCTGAACCCCTCCAGCCTCCCTGTTCCTCTTCCCCACCCCCCTCAAAAAAAAAGTCAGAGTCCAATCAACCTGAATGGAGAATGACATTCTCCGGCTCTCTCTGCCTGTCTTTGGGGACTCCATGGGCCTGGGGACTCCCCGACTTTCTCTGTCCACAACTGGAAGGTGGAAGATCACCCCTATTTATATAAAGAGCCCCAGGTGCTGGCTCGGCTCTTACCCTCCCTCTCCTCTCTCCCCCCCCATGCCCTGCCGAGCTGGCTGTGGTCCCAAGCCGGGCACCACGAGGCACCATCCTGCTGCCCATCTCTCCTGACCTTGGGGTCAAGCAGTTTTGTCCCCATTCTACAGGTGGAGGAAAGTGAGGCTCCAACAGGCTCCTGGAGTCAGGAAGAGACCTTGAGGAGCTCAAGCCACAGCCCTGGGTGATGGGGAGGTGGAGGACTAAGATACCTCGATTGGCCGGGCGCCGGTGGCTCGCGCCTGTCATTCCAGCTACTCAGGAGGCTGAGATCTTGAGGATCGAGGTTCAAAGCCAGCCTGGGCAGGAAAGTCTGAGCGACTTTTTTTTTTTTGTCGGTCATGGGGCTTGAACTCTGGGCCTGGGCGCTGTCCCTCAGCTCTTCAGCTCAAGGCGAGCGCTCTATCACTTAAGTCACAGCGCCACTTCTGGTTTTTTGGAGATAAGAGTCTCATGGACTTTGCTGCCCAGGCTGGCTTTGAATTGTGATCCTCAGATCTCAGCCTCCTGAGTAGCCAGGATGACAGGTGTGAGCCACCGGTGCCCGGCTGAGCAACTCTTATCTCTACTTAACCAGCAGAAAACCAGACCTGGTGTGTAGCTCAAGTTGTAGAGCGCCACCCTTGAAGGGAAAGAGCTCAGAGACAGTCCCCAGGCCCTGAGTTCCAAACCAGGAGTAGCACAGAGAAAGAAGATAAACGAGACAGCAGCATCGCCATGTCATGTGGCCACAGACGGCCGGGTGAGGAGAGGAGGCTGACTTCAGGTGGGACTGGGGGCTGAAGCTACAATCCATAAGGTGTCCCTAGAAGGTCTAGATCTCTCTGGGGGGGTAGCTGAAGTCCCCCCCCCCCGCACCTTCTGGGTCCCCAAGATGTAATCTCTTTGCCTCTTCCTTGATGGAAGGAGGTGTGGGGGGGATCGGGTTCCTGTTACTAAGCAACCAGGTTCATGGTTGGTGAATAATGCATCGGGAGACCCAGAAGGATGAGAACAGAGGTGAGACCCCAGTTTGCAGGAGCCCCACTTCTAGAACTTTCTACCACCCTTTAACGATCTTTTCGTCCCTTCACTTCTTCATGAGTTTTGAAAGAGGCTGGGGAAGGGAAGGTAGGGCCTGGGGGTGCTGGGGAAGCACCCCCCCACTAACCCCCTGCAGCTTACCTTAAGAAATATCTCAGGCCCCTGTGCTACGAAAAGACCTCGCAGCACCCCTTTGACTCAGTTTACCTCTAGCCAGGCAACCACCCACCTATAGCAACAGGAGCCGAATGAGCATTTCCTGGAGCTGATCAACCTCCACAGCCGAGGAGGGGCATCCCAGGGGCGCAGCCTGAGCCCCCCGACACTCCCAGGCTGGCCTTTGGACTCTCAGCAGCCAGCAGGAAATGGCAAGGGTCAGAGGGGGCAGGAGCCCTCCTCATTCTCCCCCACTTCTCTCCAGGGGGAAAAGACACCCTGAGGGACCCACAGGGCACCCCACACTCTTCCATTTCCTCTGGCGCCCGTAGGAGGGGCAATCTGGGGTTCTTGGGTCACCAAGAGAGGCTTGTCCCCCCGTTCCCCCTCGGCCCTTCCCCAGCCCTGCCCGCAGCTGCCTCACCCCTGCACTTACATGGGTGTGGCCGGAGCCCATGCTTGGCTCTGCAGCGCCATCGCAGCCCCCAAGCCCACTTTGGGGTGTCTTGAATTCAGGACCCACTCTGGGCCTGTCCGCACGGGAGGCTGCAGCGGGGCTGGGTGGGAGGGGGGCGAGGGGCGGCACCCGCAAAGCTGGTCCAGCTGGTTTGGGCCAGGGAGGCCCAGCGGGGGGGGCTGGGGGGCTGGGGCCGCGCCAGGCCCTATCAGCTGTCGCCATGAATGATTTACCAGCCGCGGCCTCCTCGCCGCGCTGGCTGCCTCGCTCGGGACACTGGCTGTTCCTGGAGGTCAGGCTTGGGGGGCAGGAAAGGATGTCCCAGATGGGGGGGTCCACATGCTTGTTACCAGGGTGGCTGGGCAGGGTGGGAGCGAAGGAGAGCCCCAAGTGGATCTAGCCATCTTTCCACACCTCGATTTCCCTTTCTAGGAAAGGAGAGAGTCTTGAACTCCAGCAATACAGGAGGTGAGAATGGGTGGTGTGAACCAAAATAATAATAAGTAAATGAATGAAAACCAATCTTTCCTCCATCTCCACAACCAAGCCGGGCCTGTGGTGTACTCCTGTAATGTAAAGCCTTGGGAGGCAGAGGTAGAAGGATCAGGGTCTCAGTGGAACCAGGCCAAAAGTGTACATGCTATATGAAAAGGAGGTTGAGATCTGAGGATCATGGTTCAAAGCCAGGCCGGGCAGGAAAGTCCCTGAGACTCTTTTTTTTTTTTTTTTTTGGTCTGGTCATGGGGCCTGAACTCTGGGCCTGGGCGCTGTCCCTCAGCTCTTCAGCTCAAGGCTAGCATTCTACCACTTGAGCCACAGTGCCACTTCCAGCTTTTTTTTTTTTCTTCTGCTTATGTGGTGCTGAGGAATCGAACCCAAGGCCTCAGGCATGCAAGGCAAGCGCTCTACCACTGAGCCACCTTCCCAGCCCGTCCCTGAGACTCTTATCTCCAATAAGCTACTCAGAAAAAGCTGGAAGTGGGGCTCTGGCTCAAGTGGTAGAGCTCTCGCCTTGAGCTGAAGAGCTGAGGGACAGCGCCCAGGCCCAGAGTTCAAGCTCCAAGACCAACAACGACAACAAAAAAAGCATATGGCCCTGAGGAGGCTGTGCTGGGAGGGCTAATGGAAGTAGCCAATGAGAGCAGTGAAGGGAGAAACAGGGAGCTTGCTAGTCATGGGAGGGGCTAGTGGATGTAGCCAATGGGAATGGAGGGAGAGGCATGGCTACTATGGTGGAAGGGGCTATTGAACATTATCAATGGGAGTGGAGGGAGGGGTACTGCATGTAGCCAATAGATATGGAGGAAAAGGCATGGATTAAGTTTTTTTAGTTTGTTTTTTCTTTTGTTTTTGTCAGTCCTGGGGCTTGGACTCGGCCTGGGCGCTGTCCCTCAGCTCTTCAGCTCAAGCCAAGCGCTCTACCACGAGCCACAGCGCCACTTCCATTTTCTGGTGGTTCATGGGAGATCAGAGTCTCTCCAACTTTCCTTCCCCAGGCTGGCTTTGAACCCTGATCCTCACATCTCAGCCTCCTGATGACAGGCGGGAGCCACCGTCGCCTGGCTTTAGTATTTATTTTAAACAGTTGTACAAGAAGGTTCAAATTGGGCTGGGAAGGTGGCTCAGTGGTAGAGGGCTTGTCTTGCATGCCTGAGGCCCTGGGTTCGATTCTTCAGCACCACATAAGCAAAAAGAAGAAAGCTGGAAGTGGCACTGTGGCTCAAGTGGTAGAGTGCTAGCCTTGAGCTGAAGAGCTGAGGGACAGTGCCCAGGCCCAGAGTTCAGACCCCACGACCGGACCCAAAAAAAAAAAAGAAGGTTCAAATCCACAAGTCCCATTCTGAGCACACTGCATCTTGATTGAACTCACCATTTCCATCCTCCCGTCTTTCCCAATCTCATCCAAACCCTCGAATTACCTCGTTCATTTTCCTTTCTTTTTGTGCCAGTGTCAGGGCTTGAACTCAGGGCCTCGGTGCTGTCTCTAAGCTTTGGTACTCCAGGCCTGGTCCTCTACCGCTTGAGCCACAGCTTCATTTTGCCAGACAGCTCACTGGCTGTCTGTGGACTCCTCTTCACTCTACCGCCCCTTAGCCGATGCACATGACTCCGTACATGATCTCACATACGCTTTTTTTTAGATTTATTATTATTATTATTATTTTGTCAGTTGTGGGGCCTGAACTCTGGGCCTGGGCGCTGTTCCTGAGCTTCTTTTGCTCAAGGTTAGCAGGCTACCACTTGAGCCACAGCACCACTTCTGGCTTTTTCTGCTTCTGTGGTGCTGAGGAATCGAACTCAGGGCCTCATGCACGCAAGGCAAGCGCTCTACCACTGAGCCATCTTCCCAGATCCTCACCTATGCTTATGACTTAGGTCTAACTTCCACACAGGAGATAAAACACACGCGCCCTTTTTTCTCTCTGAGCCTGACTTATCTCACGTCTAAGTCCATCCATTTTCCTGTAAATGACAATATTGTCCTTTCTGATAGTCACAGATCGATGAGCTATAGCTTGACATAGAAGCATATATTGACTTGTAAATATGTACTTATATATCTAGCTATAAATTATCTAGCAACCAATCTACACACACACACCGCCGCCGCCACCACCATCACCACCACCCCTGTGCGGCTTCTAAGTAAGAGAAGAGGGAGAGTCTGAAAGATACCAGAGAAGAGGAGAAAGACCCTGACTGAGTCTGATTAGTGAAGGTCTTCAGGAAAAGTTCAGAGGGTGGGGCCAGGATCTAGGGTGGCTGCAGGAGAGATGGGGAAGGCTGTACAGAGAGCCCCCTTCTCTTCCCTCCCTCCCTCCCTCCCTCCCTTCCCCTCCTTTTTCTCTCCCTTCCTCCCCCCGCCCCGGTGAAAGTTGGTGATATGGCTGTGTCATACATCCATCCCTTGTTTGCACTGATGATATTTTCGAGGTTGGGTTTCATTTCCTGCCTAGACAGGCGGCTGGGTCTGAATGCTCTTATTTGAGTTTTCCCCCTGGTAGCTAGGATGGCCGGTGTGCATCACCACGCCCGGCTACTTTCTGTTGGAGACTGCCTACTTTTCTCTTGGGGGCTGGCCTGGAACTGTGATCCCTTCGGAATCTCAGCCTCCCAGGAACTAGGTGTAACCCCCCCTGCACCGGCTAGCGACCTTTATTTATTATTTATTTATTTATATTTATTAGGGGGGGCAGGCACTGGAACTTGAACTCAGGGCCTGGGCGCTGACTCTGAGCATTTTTGCTCAAGGCTGGCGCTTTACCACTTGAGCCACTGCTCCACTTCTGGCTTTTGGGTGGTTAATCACAGATAAGAATCACAGCTTTCCTGCCCAGGCTGGCTTCCAACCAAGATCCTCAGACCTGAGCCTCCTGAGAAGCCGGGACTACAGGAGACACCGGCGCCCGCCCGGCCCTGCTGCCGTCGGGGGGGGGGGGGGGGGGGGGGGGAAGGAACAGGAAGGATTATGGCCCTGGGGAGCGGGTGGCCCCCGGGGAGAGGACGCCGATCCGATCGCGGCGGGGCGGCGGGGTCCTCGGTGGGTGCGCGGGGTCCGGGCCGCTCCGCGGGCTCCCCGGGAGCCAGGGGGCGGCGGCGTGGGGCGGGGCGCGGGGCGCTGGAGGACGCCCCGCGAGGCCCGGGCGCCGCTGGCCGCGGCCGATCGGGGCTGCAGTGACCCCAGAGGGCGACGCCGGGGACCCGCGGGGCAGCGGCGCGGTCCGGGGAGGCCGCGCGTTCCAGGACGTTCCGCGCCCCGGGCTGACCCGGGCGCCCCGAGCCCCTCCGAGCGCCCCCGCCCCGAGGGCGGAGCCAGGACGGCGGGGCGGGCGGCAGGTGCCCGGGGCGGTGCCCGGTCCTCCGAGGCCAGCGGCGGGTCAGAGGCGCGGCGGGTGCGGGCGACGCCTTGGGGCCGCGGGCGCGGACACCCCGGCTTTGGGGACGGAGGTTTCCAAGCCTCTCCCCACGCCGGACGCCGGGGCCGCGGGGTCTCCGGAGGGGCGGCGTCTCCAGGAGCCCCGGGAGCCGGAGCGCGGAGCCCCGGAGCGGAGCGCGGGGCGGAGCCGGCCGCCGAAGCCCCCGAGCGGTCCCCGGACCTGGACCTCGGGACCCCGAGGCCGGAGAGCGGAGGCTCCGGGCGGGACGCGGCGGGGCCGGGGGCCGGGGCCGAGGCTCGGCCGGGCGCCCCGGCCCGCGCGGAGACCCCGGCCCCCGACCCCGCCCCGGGCCCCGCGGCGCCGCCCATGGAGACGCCCATCGAGCGCGAGATCCGCCGCAGCTGCGAGCGCGAGGCGAGCCTGCGCCGGAGACGGGGCCTGAGCCCGGGCCGCGCCGGCCAGGAGCTGGTGGAGCTGCGCGTGCGGCCGCTGCTCAGCCGGCCGGACCCGGGCCCCGCGCGGCCCCGCGCCCTGGAGCGCGCGCGCGCCGGCGCCAGGATGCGGCGCGACGTGGAGCGCGAGGCCGGGCGGCAGGCGGCGCTCGTGCGCCTCGCGGCCCCGCCGCCCCGCGCGCGCCCCGCCGCCCCGCCGCCCCCGCCGCCGCTGCGCGAGCTCCGGCGCTTCTTCGAGGCCGCGGCCCGGGACCCCGCGCTGGCCTGCGCCCCGCCGCCCGCCGCCCCGTCGCTGCTGGAGCGGGAGGTGCGCGAGGCTCTGGAGCGCGAGCGGGAGCTGCAGCGCCTGCGGCGGGACGTCTACGGCACGGCCGAGTTCACGGACCCCGCGCCCAGGCTCACCGGTGAGCCGCCCCGCCTGCGGACCCCCCACCCCTCCCGCTCCCTGGAAGTTTGTGGGTTCCTCCGCCGGGAGCCCCCTGCTCATCCGGCCCCACCCCGCCCGCGCCCCCCGGCAGCCTCTCAGCCGGTTACACCTCCGCCTGGAACAGCCGGGCGCCGCGGCTCCCGCCTGTAATCCCAGCATCTTGTCGGTGGCTGCGATCTGAGGATCGCGGGTGGAAGCCGGCGCGGGCCGGAAAAGTCCGATCCCATAACTTCCAGAAATAAAAACCAGCCACCAGTGGCGCTGTGGCTCAAGTGGTGGAGCGCCAGCCCCAGGCGAAAAAGCTCAGGGACCGCGCCCGGGCCCTGGGTTCGAGCCCCAGGACCAAGAGGAAGACGTCCGCGTGGCGGTGGCTGGGGAGGGGGCGCGGACGCGGGGTTCGGCGCTCTGTATTCCCAGGTCCTCGGCCCCCAGCTGGGCGGAGGCCTCCGTGGGGGCGGGCGTGGGGGGGACGTGTGTGTTTAAGGGGTGCGGCCGGCCTCCACCTGGCTGGTACAGGTGGGGCGACCCCCGCTGAGCGTCCCGCCCCCCCGCCTCCCCGCAGCCAGCCGGGGCGACGGAAAACTGGCGGTGATCTGGCCGCCGCACAGGAAGGCCTCGGAGAACGGCCTGGACCAGGTGGGGACCCCCTGCACCCCACGTCGCTCTTCCTGGGCCAGGTGGGGGACCCCCGCCCTCCACGTCGCGCCGCGCCCCTCCCTGCGGATCCGGGACGCTGGGCAGGGAAGGCGCAGCCCGGGGGGGGGTGCTGGGACCCGGATGACCCCCTCCTGCCCCTGGATGGGGTGCACGGGTCCCTCAGGGGGGCTGCCCTCTGTCCTCTCCCCAGGAGGGGCGCAGACCGTGAGGTGTGTGACCCGGACGCCCGGCGGGAAGAACCAGGATGGGGTCGACCGTCGGAGGAGCGCCCCGCGGCAGGCGCCCTCGGAAAGGCTTGCAGAAGAGGGGGCCCCCCGCCCCGGGAGCGTGCGATGGCCGGCCCGCGCTTCACCTTGACTTTGGGGAGCTTTAGTGCACTGGGACCGGCGCTTGTCCGCCTGGAGGAAGAAAAGCCACCACCCCGGGGCAGATCGAGGGGCCGGGGTCACCCCACGCCCCTCCGCACAAATAAAGCCCCGCCCCTCCGGGGCCCGCGAGACCTCTTCTTCAGGGAGTCTCCGTCTCGGGTGGGGCGCGAACGCCGCGGGGAATGCGGAACGCACCCCGCGAGCGCGGTTCTGGAGCTGCCGGCCACCCTCGGAGGCCACGCCCTTCGGGAGGCCACGCCCATGACAGGCCACACCCCCATGCATGCCGAACCGGCCGGGCGCGCTGCTCCCCTCTGGCGGCCAAGGTGCGAAGTGCACTTTGTCCTCCGCTCCACCCTCCCGGCTGGACTTCCAACTTCTACCGGGGCTCCGGGCTCTCCGCCCGACCTGCACCGAGGCTCCCCAGCCTGTGCGGTCGGGCTGTCCCTGCGCTAGATGTAAATAATAGCTAAAAAGAAAAAAAGGTGCCCATGAAGGCCCAAGCGCCCCCCATCCCTCCTGTGATGTCCGGCTGGGCGTCCCTCCAAGTTTGTTTATAAGTCAGGGTAGGGAGTCAGAGTTCCTGCGACCCAAAGAACAGCGGGAACCAGCACGGGGTGGGTGGAGGGTACAAGCAAGCCCTCAGTCCCGGCCACTCACGGCTTGAGGTAGGAGGACCCCTGGGGCTCCCAGGAGTTCAGGGCCAGCCTGCGCAACATATTGAGACTTTGTCTCCAAACAAACCACATGAAAACGGGTCCCAGTTAGAGAAAGAGAATTGTAGGGGCTGAAGTTGTGGCCCAGTGGGAGCGCTGTTGTCTGACAGCGGCCCCATCCTGGGTTTGAGCCCCCAGCACTCCTCCTCCCCCAAATATGACTTTTAATGGAGTGTGGCTATTATAGTCGGTCCTGGGGCCTGAACTCTGGGCCTGGGTGCTGTTTCAGCTCTTCAGCTCAAGGCGAGCGCTCTACCACCTGAGCCACGGCACCACTTCCGGTTTTCAGGTGGCTCTTTGGAAATAAGAGTCTCATGGACTTTCCTGCCCGGGCTGGCTTTGAACCCTGATCCTCAGATCTCAGCCTCCTGAGTAGCTGGGAGTTTACAGGCCTGAGCCACCGGCACCTGGCGGAGTGTGACTGTTTAAGGAAACGTGTGTGTGTGCTCATCCTGGGGCTTGAACCTGATTGGGGCCTGGGTGCTGTCCCCTGACTTAATTTGTCCAAGGTTGACACTCTTGTCATTTGAGCCACAACTCCACTTCCAGCTTTTTGTTTCTTTTCCAGTCCTGGAGCTTGAAGTCAGGGCCTGGACGCAGTCCCTGGGCCACTTTGTGCTCAAGGCTAGCGATCTACCACTTGAGCCATAGAGCCACTTCCAGCTTAATCTGAGAAGTTTACTGGTGATAAGTCTTACAGACTTCCCTGCCCGGGCTGGCTTTGAACAGTGATCCTCAGATCTCAGCCTCCTGAGTAGCTAGGATCATAGGCTGAGCCACCAGTGCCAGCTCACTCCCAGGTTTTTTAATGATTCATCAGAGATAGGAATCTCTCAGACTTTTCTGCCCAGGCTGGCTTTGAATCACTGTCTTCAAATCTCAGCTTTCTGAGTAGCTAGGATCACAAGCATGAGCCACCGGCACTTGGCTTAGAAGTAACTTTTGTTAACACTAACACTAGGTTGCAGTAGGGTGTTTGGCTGATCATGTGCAAGCTCTGGTTAATTCCTCTTCGGAGAGCATCTTAAATTGTCTGCCAAACTGTATCTGTGCTGTTCACATACCATAGCTTCAAGACTAGGCTCTGTACCCAGGCGGGCCTGGAACTCTTGGTCCTCATATTTCAGCTTCCTGTGGGCTGGGATTACAGGTGTGTGCTACCATGCCCAGCATGGCTGCTGTTTCACAGCTTCGTACAAATGAACTGAGGCCAGAAAACATGACATGAGGTAAATGGGAGCCAGTTCTAAGGCCTGGGTTCGATTCCTCAGTACCACATACACAGAAAAAGCCAGAACTGGCGCTGTGACTCAAGTGCTAGCCTTGAGCAAAAAAATCTCAGAGACAGCGCCCAGGCCCTGAGTTCAAGCCCCAGCACTGACAAAAAAAACAAAAGAAATGTACTTGTTGCCGGGCGCTGGTGGCTCACGCCTGTAATCCTAGCTACTCAGGAGGCTGAGATCTGAGGATCGCAGTTCAAAGCCAGCCCGGGCAAGAAAGACCGTGAGACTCCTATCCCCATTCACCCGCAAAAAAGATGGAAGTGGAGTTGTGGCTAGAGCACCAGCTAGAGTGTGTTTGGGGGGGAGGGGAACAACTCAGGACCAGAACCCAGGCCCTGAATTCAAGACCCACTAGGGGCACAAAGAAACATATTCCAACAATCAGCCCGATGAGAAAATGAATGAGCTCTTCCCATGCGCTGCTGGCTTTGACATGTGGATGAGATGCAGCATAAGGCACTGCGGCTACACCAAGGCCCCACAGCCCGCATGAGCCCACGCCGCTGTGGGAGGGTGGAGGGGTGGGGAAACCTTGGTTTCCTGAGGTTCCTGAGCAGCAAGCCCAGGAAACCAAGGTTTCCCCACCCCTCCACCCTCCCACAGCGGCGTGGCTCATGCGGGCTGTGGGGCCTTGGTGTAGCCGCAGTGCCTTATGCTGCATCTCATCCACATGTCAAAGCCAGCAGCGCATGGGAAGAGCTCATTCATTTTCTCATCGGGCTGATTGTTGGAATATGTTTCTTTGTGCCCCTAGTGGGTCTTGAATTCAGGGCCTGGGTTCTGGTCCTGAGTTGTTCCCCTCCCCCCCAAACACACTCTAAGCTGGTGCTCTAGCCACAACTCCACTTCCATCTTTTTTGCGGGTGAATGGGTGAGGGGAGTCTCATGGATTTTTTCCTGTCCTGGCTGGCTTTGAACTGTGATCCTCAGATCTTACAGGTGTGAGCTGCCAGCACCAGAAAAAATAACTAAATAACAACAAATATAAACATATAGTGTTGTGGTTTTAGTTCCCTTTCGTGTGTGCGTCTGTGTGTGTGTTGTGTTCTTGTGTCAGTCCTGGGGCTTGAGTTCAGGGCCTGAGGGCCGTCTTTAAGCTATTGGTGCTCTACCACTTGCTACAGCTCCCCTTCTGGCTTTTCTGATGGTTTATTAAGAGTCTCACAGACTGGCTGGGAAGGTGGCTCATTCGTACAGTGCTTGCCTGGCAATCATGGGGCCTGGGTTCGATTCCTCAGCACCACATAAACCGAAAAAGCCGGAAGTGGCGCTGTGGCTCAAGTGGTAGAGTGCTCGCCTTGAGCTGAAGAGCTGAGGGACAGCGCCCAGGCCCAGAGTTCAAGACCCACGGCTGACAAGAAGAAAAGAAAATAAGTCTCACAGACTTTCCTGCCTGAGCTGGCTTTGAACCGTGATCCCAGATGGCGGGGATGTGAGCCACGGTGGCCCCGCCGGCCTCAGTTCTGATCCCTGGGTGTAAGGAGGGACACGGGGGACGGTCCTGCGCCGCAGGAGGCAGCTGCGATGGGAAGAAGCCGGTTCGAGTCCAGGCTCCGCCGCCTGAGCACAGGGTACCAGGCGCGTCCCCTCCCTCAGCGCCCAGTCCCCTCCCGACTCCTCCAAACCGGGGTCCCCTAGGGCTCTCCGCACCCCCTCCGCGACACGCGAGCACCCCGCAAAGTACAGGAGACGCGCCACGCCCCAGACCTGAAAACTAGGAAAGAAAAGAAGTCGGCTCCCGCCTTTGGGACGCTTTCGCCAGGCACGCCGGGTAATGTAGTCTTTTGACGTCGCGAAGAAACAACTTCCGGGTTACAATTGGGCAGTAGGCGTGACCGTAAGTCTCTTCCTCCAGTGGGCGTTGAATTTCCCAGCTACCGCCAAATTGGGGTTTCCTGGGTTCCGGTTGTTGACAGGGGCCGCTACTTCCTTTTTTTTTTTTTTTTCCGTGGGGGCTGCTGCGCATGCCCCCGCTCTTGCCTGGCGAACAGGCATGGCTAAACTACATCTCCCAGAAGGCAGCGCGAGGGGGCGTGGCTCCGCCGGGGGCGTGGCTCCGCCGGGGGCGTGGCGCGGCGCTGGAGCGGACCAGAGCCCGTGACCTCTTTCTTTCTTTCTTTTATTGAACAGGAAACTCCAGTGTCGGCGCTCGGGGCTCCGCGCGGCCGGGAAGCCCGGCCTGAAACCCGGCAGGGCGAAGCTGGGGTGTCCTAGGGAGTCCAGGGCCGGCCCTCCCTTGCCGTCTCTCCTGGAGTTCGGGACTGACCGGCTCCAGCGCCCATCTTCCTCCTTCTAGGGGTTCAAGACCCGGGTGCGGCCCAGGCCGGGAGCCCCGCCGCGCTCGGGGGCCGGGCCGGGCCTGCTTGGCCCATGAGGACCTGGACCAGCAGGTCGGTGGCCAGCATGTGCGACGGCTCCTCGAAGCCGATGGTCAGCAGCTGTTGGTAGTCCCCCGGGGGCTGCGGGCACAGGATCCTGGGGGAGGGGGAAGGCAGACAGGCCTGGACCCCAGACCCCGGCCCCCGGGGAGCCCCCGGGGGGGACAGCCCCCTCCCCCGCTCCCCCGGCCTGGGGCAAGTTGTTTCCTGGTTGTGGATGAGAAACTTAGAGACAGTGGAGGCTCCGGTGGATTGGCTGACTGCCCCCAAGTAGCCAATCAGGCCGCGCCTCGCTGTGTGACGCGGCACGGGGTGACTCAACCTCTCTGAAACACTTGTTTACACCAGCCTGCCTAAGGCACTTCTCAGGCCACCAGAAAAAAAAGGTGCTCTTGTGGGCCTCTCTGGAGGCCGAGAGAGAGAGAGAGAGAGAGAGAGAGAGAGAGAGAGAGAGAGAGAGAGAGAGAGGTTGAGAGGATGGAGGTTTGAGGCCAGCCTAGGGTGCAAAGGTCCTGGAGATTCAGTCCCCAAAATTAATCAGTTGAAAGCCCACCTGGCAAGAGCGTTAGCCTCGAGCAAGCAGGCTGAGGGGGCCCTGTGTTCTATTCCTGAGACACACACAGGTGATGGTAAGTACCCCAGGAAGCAACATGCTGTCGGGGGTGGGGTCCTGCTCCTCCAACCAGAGACCACCCCCTCTTTGCCCAGCCTCTTACCACGAATAAAGGTCATCTTCTGGTGGTCCCAGGGGCACCCATCGGCCGATGGACCACAGCTTCTGGATCTGGGGACAGGAATTGGCAGGACTCTGTCCTGCGTCTTCCCACGTATCTCGGTAGCATAGGAAATAGCTGGGGGGAGGGAGGAAGGGCATGAATGAATGATCAAAGTTGCCCTGAAGTTCTCCAAACTCAAGCTGGGCCTATAGTCTTCTTCCCCACCCGCCAAGCCTACTTTTCAGAGGAGAACTTTTAAGTCAGGCACTGGTGGCTCATGCCTTGCAATCCTAGCTACTCAAGAGGCTGAGAACTGAGGATCACAGTTCAAAGCCAACCCAACCCTGGGCAGAAGAGTAAGTAAGACTTTTTTTTTTTTTTTTCTGTGGGTCATGGGGCTTGAACTCCGGGCTTGGGCGCTGTCCTTGTGCTCTTCAGCTCAAGGCGAGCACTCTACTGCTTGAGCCACAGCACCACTTCCGGTTTTCTAGTGGTTTATTGGAGATAATAGTCTCGAAGACTTTCCTGCCTGGGCTGGCTTTGAACTGAGATCCTCAGATCTCAGCCTCCTGAGTAGATATAGGATTACAGGCTTGAGGCACTGGCATGCAGCAGTAAGACTCTTATCTCCAATGAACCACCAAAAAGCCAGAAGGAGAGATATGGTTTAAATGGTAGAGCACCCATCTGCCTTGAGAAAAAATCAAAAAAAACAAAGGAAAACACCTAGGCCTTAAGTTCAAGCCCCAGGACTGGCACAAATAAAATATATATTGGTGGGAGGGTAGGGAGAGAGGAAGGGAAGGGGTGACATTGTTCAAAAAGAAATGTACTTTGGGCTGGGAAGGTGGCTCAGTGGTGGAGTGCTTGCTTGCATGCATGAGGTCCTGGGTTTGATTCCTCAGCACCACATAAGCAAAAAGAAAAAAAGCCGGAAGTGGCGCTGTAGCTCAAGTGGTAGAGCTCTAGCCTTGAGCTGAAGAGCTGAGGGACAGCGCCCAGGCCCAGAGTTCAAGCCCCAGGACTGGCAAAAAAAAAAAAAAAAAAAAAACTAAGAAAAGGCCAGAAGTGGTGCTGTGGCTCAAGAGCGCTAGCCTTGAGCACAAAGAGGCTCGGGGACAGTGCCCAGGCCCCAAGTTCTAGCCCCCCCAGGACTGGCAATAAATAAATAAATAAATAAAAATCAATAAAAGCTTGAGTGTGTCGCTCATGGTGAGAGGATCTGTGTGGCATGCGCGAGACACCCCAAAAGGCTCTGCTTCCTGGTTTTGCTTTTGCACAAACCCCCCTCCCGGATCTCAGCCGGGAGGAGTTAGGGTTTGGGATGGGGAAGGGGGGCAGGGACACTCACTAGTCCACATGGGGGTCTTGGCCCCGGCTGTTGGGCTCCGGGGTGACCTCCAGGTTCCAGCGCATCTTCTTGTAGAGGTACCTGGGGAAGCGCGCGGCCGTGTAGGGCGCGGGGCTGCAGTATCTGAAGATGGACACCTCGTGGGCGGGGCTGATGGAGAACCTCCCACAGAAGAAGCAGGAGATGCTGGGGGGGGGGAGATGGCAGAGGGAAACTGAGGCTGGCCCTTGGCCTCTGCCCCCCCCCCCCCCCCCCCCGGCTCCTATCCCCACCTCAGAGGGTCAGTCTCGTCCAGGTCCACGAAGCCGAAGGAGGCGTACATGAACACCAGCTGCTCCAGGCGCAGCGTCAGCTGCTGGGAGATCTCCAACAGCTGCAGAAGAGAGGGGGCGCTCGGCGGCCTGGGGCGGGCTGGCCCAGGCCCCTAGACCCCCGGGCCCCCCCGGCCCCCAGGCCCCCCAGGCCCCCCAGGCCCCCAGACCCCCCGGCCCCACCGGCCCCCAGACGGCCCCCAGGCCCCCCAGACCCCCAGGCCCCCCGGCCCCCCCAGGCCCCCAGGCCCCCCCGGCCCCCCGGCCCCCCCAGGCCCCCAGGCCCCCAGGCTCCCAGACCCCCCAGGCCCCCAAGCCCCCCAGGCCCCCCGGCCCCCCAGGCCCCCCAGGCCAGTCCGTCCGGCACTCACCCCCTTCCTGATCACCTCCTGCAGGCCTCCATAGATGGGGGGCGCGCTCCTGCCCGCGGCCTCCAGGTACAGCAGATAGGGCTCGCACATCTTCAGGAACGTGGGCATGGCCTTCGCCAGCTGCTCCTTCTGCACGCGTTCCCGGCTGAAGGGAGAAGGAGGGGCGTCTTCACCCCATTTTTGTTGTTGTTGTTGTTTTGGTCAGTTTGGGGGCCTGAACTCGGGGCCTGGGCGCTGTCCCTCCGCCCCTCAGCTCAAGGCCGGCGCTCTACCGCTGAGCCCCAGCGCCGCTTCCGGTTTTCTGGTGCTCACTGGAGATGAGTCTCATGGACTTCGCTGCCCGGGCTGGCTTTGAACCGCGATCCTGTCTCAGCCTCCTGAGTAGCTGGGATGGCCGGCGGGAGCCAGCGCCTGGCTTTCACCCCACTCTGACCCCTTCACACCCCTGCTTTGGGGGGAGGGAGAACTGTAAAGTGCTGACACGTGGGCTGGGGGGGCCGTGGAGAGATGAGGCCTGGGGGGCGGCATGGGGGGAGAGACAGACTGACCGAAGAAACTGGGGGTCCAGTGGGCCAGAGGAAGTGAGGACATGTCACTGTCCCCCTTTTTCTCCCTGCTGTGGTCACTGCACTGCCCTTGTGGTTTTGGGGTGTCTTGGAGGTAAGTGGGGGTGAGCCGGGTGTGGGCCAGGCCCGGGACACGGGTGGGGTGGCGGGGGTCACACCCAGGCCCCTCCCCGGGGTCACACCCCGGCTGCCCCCACCGGGTCACGCCCCGCCCCCCGGGTCACGCCCGCCCCCGGGGTCACACCCACTCCCGGTCACGCCCCGCCCCCGGGGTCACGCCCCGCCCCCGGGTCACGCCCCGCCCCCGGGGTCACGCCCCGCCCCCGGGTCACGCCCCGCCCCGGGGTCACGCCCCCCGGGTCACGCCCCGCCCCCGGGGGTCACGCCCGCCCCCTCACGCCCCGCCCCCCGGGGTCACGCCCCGGCCCCCCCTTCACACCCTGGCGCCCCCGGGGTCACACCCAGGCCCCTCCCCGGGGTCACACCCCGGCTGCCCCCACTGGGTCACGCCCCGCCCCCCGGGGTCACGCCCGCCCCACCTGTACAGCAGGTGGCTCTGGAAGTCGTCGGCCTTGCGCAGCAGGTAGCGGAGCTGGTCGGTGACCGGGCTGAACATGGCGTCCAGGGCCAGGCGCGCCGGGGCCGGGCCGGGCTCGGGCGCGGGGGGCTCCGGGGAGGGCGGCGGCGCCGGGGGCTCCTCGGGGCCGGCGCGGCGGGGCTGCGGCCCGGGCTCCGCGCCGTCGGGCGGCGGCGGCGGCGGCGGCGTCTCCGCGGGGCTGCGGGCGGGCCAGGGCTCCGAGGCCATGGCGGGGGGCGCCGCGGTCGGGGGCGCCCCGCTCTTCAGGCCGCGGAGGGGGGCGCGGCCCGCTCCCACCCGCCCCCGACGGCGCCGGACGCGGGGCCGGCGTCCGCCTCATTTGAATTTCAGCGCGAGGCGGGGCGGGGCGGGTCCGCGGGACCCCGAGACCGAGACCGAGACCCCGAGACCGCGGGACCCCGAGACCCGAGACCCGAGACCGCGGGACCCCGAGACCCAGAGACCGAGACCGCGGGACCCGAGACCGAGACCCGAGGCCCGCGGACCCCGTCCCGCGCTTCCGCGGCGCGTGGAGCCGGCCGGGCGCCGGGGTTCCGGGTGCGGGGCCGGGGGCCCTGGCCGGTGTCCCGCGGAGGCGGCCAGGCTGCACCCTGCCTGCACGTTGTCTTTATGGTGCAGGGGGGCCTCGAACCCAGGCCTTCGTCTCCCCCCAGGCTTCTCCCCTCAAGGCTGGCGCTCTCCCACCTGAGCCACCGCTCCCCTCCCTCCAGCTTGGGGGCATTGGCGGGAGGTGAGTCTCCAGGGCCCGGGCTGGCTTGGGAAGGGGATCCTAAAGCCTCAGCCTCCTGAGGGGCCGGGGTGACCGGCGTGAGCCCCCAGAGCCAGGCTCCTTCCTCCCCACGACCCCCCCTTCACCTGCAAAGGCCCGGGGGTGTGCGGCCCAGCTGCTCATTATATACAAAGAAGTGGACCCAGCCTGCGTGTGACCCTTACCCCCAGTGAACCACTAGAAAACGCAGAAGCGGAGTCACGGCTCAGAGTGGTAGGGTACTACTAACCTTGAGCCAAAAAGCTCAGAGACAGCGCCCGGGCCCTGAGTTCAAACCCAAAGCTGACCCCCCCCCCCCCAATAATAATAATAATGTAACATCTCACACCTGTAGGCCTATATCCTCTGGAGGCTGAGATCTTAGGATCATGGTTTAAAGCCAGCTCCAACAGGAAAAGTCGGGGAGATTCTTTAGGATCTCCAATTAACTCGCAGAAAGCTAGAAGTGGAGCTGTGACTCAAGAGGTAGAGCTAAGGGACACCACTCAGGCCCAGAGTTCAAGCCCAGTACCACCAGTACCACCACCACACACACACACACAGTCAACAGGTGTCAAGCCAGGTGTGGCAGCCCTGCGTGACCAGGCGCGTCTCTGCTGTGCCAGTCTATTGCTCTCTATAAAATGGGTTTTTACGAGCCTTTGCTCATGGGGTGCGCAAAGGAAACAAGCAAGAAAAAGCCCATAAAGCGTGGTACACTCACTGTGCGCTCTAGCAATGGGGAGCTTAAAGGACAAAGCAAATAGCTGTCACTTTATCTCGGTCCACTGTTTTTAAAAATATATATACAAGAGCAGCTGGGAAGGTGGCTCAGTGGTAAGAGTGCTTGCCTCCTAGCATGCCAGAAGTCCTGGGTTCGATTCCTCAGTACCACAGACACAGATCCATGAAGTAGCAATAAATGAATGGCAGCAATAAGTGGATCTAACAACTGCTGCTTCGAGGATTCTCACCTGTGGCCAGGCTCTGGAGTTTAACCCGCAAGGTCGGGGAGGGGTCACTGAATGCCAATCTGGAGCCATTGCTTTTCTTACCTTAAGTAGGTGTACAAAGAAATTCCCATTCTGCAGAACGGTGTATGAATACGAGGTGTCTGACAACACTGTCACCCAGCTCTCCTAACCCTTCTCTTTAAAAAAAAAAAATCTCAATTACATAAATTTTGCATAATGCGCGGTATTTCAGTTTTTTGTGCTGGTCCTGGGCCTTGAGCTCAGGGCCTGGGTGCTGTCAAGGAGCTCTTTTGTGAAAGGCTGGTGCTCTACCACATGAGCCACAGCTCCATGGATCTGGCTTTTTGCTGGCGAATGGGAGATAACAGTCTCAAGGCGTTTCCTGCCCAGGCTGGCTTTGAACCACAATCCTCTTGTGTCTCTTAAGTTACTGAGCACAGGTATGAGCCACCGATGCCCAGGGTTTTTTCCCCCCAGGTTTTCTGCCTAGCACCCCTATTTGGTGGTTTAGGTGCTTTCTCCCTCCTTAACCTTTGCCCCCCACACCGCATTCCCCCCGAAACCAGACGGTGCCACCTTTTTTCTTTCCTTTTTTTCTTAAAATTTTATTTAAAAAACCTCCGGTGCAATATAAAAAGCCATACAGCCAGCTGGAGCGAAAGACTGACAGAAAGAGAGGTGAAGAGGGGACAGAGGAGACCCCAGCAGAACCCCCCGGGGCTGGAGAGCCAGGGGCACCGTGGGCTGGGGGAGCGGGGCCGCGGGGGGTGGGGGAGAAAGACCACCCGCCAATGAACAGGCAGAAAAAAAACAAAACACGTATACAGGATACATCCGGCTGAACAGAGAGGATCTTGGGAGATAGGAAGGTCCCCCCCTGCCCTTTTTCTCCAAAAATGTCCCGAGTGAGGGGGGGGCAGGCTGGCCTCCTGGGGGTGGGGAGATGAACGATCAGGCAGAGTCCACCCCGTCCTCCACGGTGGGAGGCAGGTTTTAGGGGGGCAGGTGGTGTATGAGACAAAGAGAGGGCAATGCCCCCCCCACCAGTCCAGCATCCTGGAGTCTGGGGTTTGGGGGGGGTGAGGGGGGAAGGGTCTGGAATGGGTTTGGGGGCGGGGAGGGCGAGGCCGGGGCGCTCAGCCTAGAAAGCCGTCGGGGTCGTCGTCCTCGAAGTGGACCTGCTGCAGCGCCTTGATGTGGTGCTCGTAGATCTTGAGCGCGGGGCCCAGGCGGATGGACAGCCCGGTCAGCACGTCGGCGCGCTGCATGAGCAGCAGCGACTTGCCGTCGATTTCCTGGGCGAGGAGGGGGCGCAGGGTCAGGGCCGGCGGGGCGGAGGCCGGGGCGGGGCGGAGGCCGGGGCGGGGCGGAGGCCGGGCCGGGCTCACCTGCTCCTGGAAGGCGGAGGCCTGCTCGGGGAAGCCGGCCTCCGTGAAGTACTCCACCACGTCCATCACCGTCCACTCCACCGGGTCGGCCGGCTTCTCCTTGCGCCCCGGGCTGCGCAGAACGGGGTGTGTGTGTGTGTGAAATCCCAGTGCACACCCGGGCCCGGACGCTCTCCCCAGGCCTCCCAGACACCCCGACTTACGGGCAGCTGAAGGGGGTCCCTTCCGCCCCAGGGAGGGCCGGTTTTCCGGGGGGCAAAGGCACAGGAGATGGAGAATCGGGGCCGGTGGCAACAGAGGCTGGGAAGGGAAAGGGAGGGCGGTGAGTAACAGTCGGGGTTCAGCGGGGATCCCCGCTTGGCACTGCCCCCCCGCCCCCCCCCCCCGGCGCGGGCCCTTACCAGACCCCCCTTCCTTATTCATGGACGCCATGGAGAACACCTGGCGGGAGGCGCTGGCAGGTGCGGGGCCCCGCCCTTCATCCTGGCCCTGGTGGGAGCCGCAGGGCGGCCAGTCCTTGACCCTCTCCTTGGCGCAGGGCGGACCCCGCTCGCCGTTGAGCTGGTGGTGCGGGGCGCCGGCCGGGCGGTCGCTCTCGGAGACTTCGGAGCCCTCCGACACGTCATCGTCGTCGTCGTCGTCGTCGTCATCTTCGTCTTCCTCATCTTTCTCCAGCGCGCGCTCGTCGCCGCCTCTCTGGGGGGGCGGTGGGGGGAGAGGGGCGCGGGGCGCTCAGGGCCGGTCTCCCCCGGCGCCCCGCTCCGGGGCCCGCGGGGGGCACCAAGCGCCCCTCGCCGCCTCCGCGCCCGATCCCGACTAACTTTTCCGCTCGTGAGAGCCCCGGGCGGCCGGACGTCGCCAAAGTCACCCCGCGCCGCCCCAAGGGGTCGCTACTGTCGCGGGGCCGCGTCCCCCCCCCCCCTCCGGCGAGGAAACTGAGGCTCGGCCGAGCGCCCGTCGCTCGCCAAGGTCACCAGGCGCGGAAAGCCGCCGGGCACGCGCGCCCGGCCCCGTCCCCGCGGCCGCCCCGCGCCTCCCGGGACTCGCGGCCCCGCCGCCAACTTCGCCCGCACCTGCCCGCCGCGCGGCGGCCCCGCTCCCGGCGCGCTCACCTTGCTCCGCGCCGCGCGGGCGCTGGCGGCCGGCGGAGCCCGTCCGGGCCTGTCCCCGCGGGGCGGCGCGAGCGCTCCGAGGCGGGCGCGCTCCGGGCGGCCCCGCGCCGCCGCCTCCTCCTCCAGCAGCCCCTGCACGCGGCCGCGGGTCAGGCGGCCGCCGGTCCCGCCGCTGCCCCCGAGGTAGCGCACGACTTCCCGCAGGCTCACGGGCCGCGCCGGGCCGCCGGCCCGCGCCGCGCCCCCCTCCGGCGGCGGCTGTGGCTGCGGCGGCGGCTGCTGCTGTGGCGGCGCCGGCGGCGGCGGCGGCGGCGGCAGCGGCGACTCCCGGGCGGCGGCGGCGGCGGCAGCGGCGGGCGGGGGGGCGCGGCGCGGGCCGATCGGGGGCGCCGCCGCCGGCGGGGCGGGGGGCGCGGGGGGCGGCGCGGCCAGGGGCGCGGCCCGCTGCGCGCGGGGGCCCGGCTGCGCGGGGCCGGGCGAGGGGGGCGCTGTGGCGGCGGCCGCGCGGGGCGCCCGGGCCGGGGCGGCGGCGGCGGCGGCGGCGGGCGCGGGCGGCGGCGCGGCGGGCGCGGGCGGCGGCGCGGCGGGGGCGGCGGCGGCGGCGGGGCCCCCGCGGGGGGCGCGCGGCGGGGCCGGCGGGGTGGCCCCGCGCCGGGGCGGCTGGACGCGCGCCGCGTTGCGGTACGAGATGCTCCCCTTGTAGCTGACCCGGAGCACGGCGCGCTGCTGGATCAGTTTCTCCAGCTCGGCGCGCGTGCGCTCGGGCTCCGGGCCGTGCCGCCGCCGCACCATCCGGCAGATGCGCTCCAGGTCCGGCCGCGCCTTGCGCGAGCGCAGCGAGTCGATGGTGTCCAGGATCCACTCCTGGTAGTGCGGGGACGCGGCGGACGACGAGGCGGCCGCTGCCGTGGTGGCGGCCGCCGCCGTCTCCGGCGGGGGCAGGGCCGGGGGCCCCGCCATGCCTCCCGCCCGGCCCGGCTGCACCGTGCGCGCTGCCTCCCTCCCAGCGCGGCGCCCCGCTCCCGGCTCCCCTCCCTCCGCCGCCGCCCGCCCGCCTCCTCCGCCTCTCCCCCCCGGGGGGCGCAGCGCCTCGGCGGAGCGGCGGCGGCGCTGCTGTTTCTTCGCAAAAAAAAAAAAAATAAAAAAAGCCGGAGAGCGCGAGAGCGAAAACAGTGCGAGAGAAAGAAAAGCGGGCGGGAGGTGTGCTCGCACTCACTCCCCGCCGCCCGCCCGCCGCCCGCCGCCCGCCGCCCGCCCGCCGCACGCACACACGGCCCCGCTGGTGCTGGGCGCGCGCGGGGCCGGGATGCGAGGAGCGAGGGGAGGAGGGAGGGGAGGAGGGAGCGCGGCCGGCCCCTCCCTCCCCGCCGCTCCCCTCCCCGCCGCCGCCGCCGCCGCCGCCGCCGCCGCACGCGCGCCCGGGACACTCCGGCCCCCTCCCCCGCCCGGAGGTGGAGCCGCGCCCCCGCCCGCCCCGCGCCCCGCGGCCGCGCTCCCCTCCGCTCGCCCCGGCCCCCCCCCCACAACTCCCGCGCGCTTTTTAAGGAGGCGCCGCGGAGTTGGCGCCGGGGCGGGGGCGGGGGGAAAGCGGCGGGCGGGGGAGGGGACGGAGGGGAGGGGGAAGCGGGCGCGCGGGGGAGGGGAGGGGGCGGGCGGGGCGCGCGGGCGGCGCTCGGCCGCCCTCCAGCCATTGGGCGCGGGACCCAGACGTCCCCGGCGCCCAGCCCCCTCTCCACGCCTCCCGGCGCGCGCCGCTCCCGGGACCGCACTTACCGGGAACTCGCCGCCCGGCCGCCGCCGCCGCCGCGGGCTGCGCGGCCGCCGCCCCTGCGCCCCTCGGAGGCGCCGAGCCCGCGCGCGGGGACGCGGCGATCGGGGAGCCCCGGGGGCGCGGGGCTCCCCGCTCCGCCCAGGGCCGCCCCCGCCCGGCCTCGGCGCGCGCCGGCCCGGCGCCTCGCTCGAGCGCCCCCTCGGCCGGACGGGACCCGCCGATCGCGGGGACCCCCGGGGCCGGGCGGAGGGCGTGGCCGCGCCCCCCGCGGGGATCCCCGCGCCCCCACCCCCCGGCCCGCGGCGGGCACCGAGTCGGCAACACCGGCGACACTTTTTTTTAAACAAAACTTTATTGGTAATAGTTCTCAAATATGTTTACAACAGCACACGGTTCGGGAGGAAGCCTCGTCCTTCGCAGCCCGCACCCGGGCGGCCGGCCCCGCGCTCCTCCGGGGCGGGAGAGGGGGTGGGAAGGGGTAGATTCGGGGCTCCCCGGCAGCCCCCCCCCCCCCGCTTTGCTCGTAAAAGAGAGAAAAGCAGCACAGATCCCCTGGCCTGGGGCGGGGGAGAGGGGCGGCTGACAGCGAGGCGGAGCCGGGCGCACGGGCCGCCGGGCGGGCAGCGCGGGGCGCCGTCCCGCCAGCCGGGCCTCGGGCCCGGGCCGGGGCTGGGGGCCGCGGGCCTCGCTGTCCCAGCTGAGCGGAGGGGAGGCTGGGAATGAAAATCCGGCTAAGAATAAAATGGAGGTCGGGGGTGTCTGCTGCTGGGCGGGGCCGGGGGGCGCCCTGGGCTTAGGGCTCCCCATATCTTTAGTTGGGGGGAGGGGAGAAGAAACTTGTCTTTGGCAGGGCCGGGGCAGCTGCTTTGGCTCCCGATAGCTGGAGGGTGGAGGAAGCTGTGGAGCGGGGGTCCACACGGCCGGGGGGCGGGGGGACGCACCCCGGTGCGCTCGCAGAAGACCCCCCCTGGGAGCAGGGGTGGGGGCGCTGTAGCTTGGGGCCGGCTGGAACCCCACTTCCTGCTTTTGCAGCCTGGGGGGCGGGCCGGGGCGGGGCGGGGCGGGAGGAGGGAGGAGGCACTGTAGAACTTAATAGATTTTAATTTTTTCCTTTTCCTTTCAATTCTAGCCAGCAGCCCACTGAACACGGTCCTCAAGTCTTTCCTCCCGCAGGACTGCTGGGAAGGGAAGGTTGGCTTTCCAGTCTATCTGTTCATCCTTGTGCTGGGGTGGGGGTGGGGGTGGGGGCTGGAGGAAAGTTGGGGTCCCCTCTCCTCATCCTGCCCTCGGACACACCAGCAAGACGAGGGGGTCTACTGGGGCTGAGAAACTCATGTGGAACAGGCAGAAGTGGGCTGAAGAGGGGGAGGGGGAGGGGGAGGGGCAGGGAGGCCAAGGGAAGGGGGGGTGCAGCTGGTGTTTCCATCCATCTGAATGACCCCCGTGCTCCCCCAACCCTGAAGGGCCAGGTGGGGGGGTGAAGTTAGATGCAAGGAACTCTGGGGGCTTCTGGCTGTTCAATCCAATCCTCCCACCCCCCCACCAAAGAAAAAAAAAGAAAGAAAAAGAGAACCCCTGGGGGTACAGGCACACCCCTAAAACTCAGAAAACTCCTTGCCACACTTCTCATTGATGGAGATCCGGATCTCTTCCTCCTCATAGTCGTCGAAGTTACTCGTGTCCCCAGCGCCTTTGAACTTTGGTATGAAGGGGGCTTCTACCTGGAGAGGGCCAGAAGACGGGCGGGGCTCAGAGAGCTGGCAGCGTCACAAAAGTGTAAATGGCCGCAGGCCTGGGCACTGGCCTGGACACCGCAGGCCTGGGCACCGGCCTGGACACCGCAGGCCTGGGCACCACAGGCCTGGGCACCGCGGCCTGGGCATCGCCGGCCTGGGCACCACAGGCCTGGGCACCGCCGGCCTGGGCACCGCCGGCCTGGGCATCGCCGGCCTGGGCACCGCCGGCCTGGGCACCGGCCTGGACACCGCAGGCCTGGGCACCACAGGCCTGGGCACCGCCGGCCTGGGCACCGGCCTGGGCATCACCGGCCTGGGCATCACCGGCCTGGGCACCGGCCTGGGCACCGCTGGTCTGGGCACCTCAGGCCTGGGCACCGCCGGTCTGGGCACCTCCGGTCTGGACACCGCCGGTCTGGGCGCGGCCTTGGGGCATGGACACAGCGGATGGCCAGGTAACCCCAGGGCTGCTCTGCCTGGGGCACGGGGGGCCCACCTTCCTCTGGTAGATGGCGATCCAGTCGGTGGTGGCGAACCACTTGTGGTTCTTGATGTCGTTGACCCCGTTCTTGAGGTTCCCGAAGCGCTTGGTGAGGTCCACCTGCAGCAGGTTGCGCAGCAGGTCCTTCAGGTCTGAGCTGAAGTGGGACGGGAACCGCACCTGGAGGGGGCACAGACGCATGGGGTGCTGGCCCCCGCTCCGGGGACAGGCCTGTGCGCAGCCCCGGGCGCCCACGGCTCGCGCCGCTCATCCTGGCGACTCAGGAGGCCAAGATGTGAGGGTCACAGTTCAAAGCCAGCCCAGGCTGAAGAGTGCAGGGCCAGCGCTCAGGCCCAGAGTTCAAGCCTCATGATGGACCAAAACAAAGAGGCTGAGATCCGAAGACCCCAGGAAGAAAGTTCACGACTCCCATCTGTGAATTAGTAAAATCAAGCAAGGAAAGCTGGATGGGAGGCGAGGCTTGAGTGGTAGAGGGTCAGCCAGGCACACACAGGTCCCAGAGCGCAAAGGCCAGAACCCCAAACAAAACCACCAGCACCAGAAAAAAAGTCTGGCCTGTTCTGGCTGGTGCTGGTGACTGGGCCAAGAATCCCTGAGACTTGGGAGATTTAGATTGGCGAGGATCGTACTCCAAAGGAATGTTCCAGAGCCCCCTCTTCCCAACCGGGCACAGGGCACGGTGATGTCATGGTGACATCATCCCCATTTTGTGGGAAGGGGAATTGGCAGATGGTCCAGGAGTGCGGCAGGAAGCAAGACCCTATCCTACAGATCAAAGCGCCCGCGGAAGGCGCCTGTGGGGCCTTTCCTGTGACTTTGGAGGTCCGGGGAGACTGTTGAGAACCAGTGCTGTTAGGCAGGTATTGAGTCTCAGCAAGGAGGAAAACAAGGGTGGGGAGGGTGGCCTGGCCACCCAGGCATGGCGGGGGGAGGGAGGCAGCCTCAGGCTTGGACCTTCCATTCCTGGCTGCTTTTGAACACCCTCCTCGCCTCCCCCCTCCCCGTCTCCCCGGCCTCTGCGCAGCTCAGTTCTTCTGGAATCTGGGGTCCCACGGCCTCGCACACAGCGTCCTCTGCCTGCAAGTCCTTGCTTGGCCTCCTGCGCTGTGTGGCCTTGGCCTCGGCCCTTCACCTCTCTGGGCCTGCGCATGGCAGCCACCCCAGTGGGGTGTGCAGCAGATAGCGAGGCGGGGGAGGGAGGAGGCTACAAAGCGGCCTCTGTGCTCACCCCCCCTCTTCTCCCACACTTTTCTTTTGGCGGGGGCCACCACCCTCCGGCCCCCTGCTCTGCCTGGCGACAGCCCCGCCCCCAGCCTTGCCCCAGGACTTCTCCCACAAGCGCAAGATGAGGCTCAGAGGGGCGGGCCAACTTTGTTCTGAGTTTCAAGGCCAGTGGGGTGGCGGGGCCGGGGTGGGGGTGCATGTTGTGTGTGCGCCGGCGTGTGTGCGTGTATGTGTGTATGTGTATATGTGCATATATGTGTGTGCATGCAGGTGTATATGTATGTGTATATGTGCGTATGTATATATGTGTGTGTAGGTGTGTATGTGTGTATACATGTGTGCATGTGTGTATATATGTGTATGTGTCTATGTGTATATATGTGTGTGTGTGTATATATGTGTGTATATGTATGTGTGTATACGTATATGTATATGTGTAAGTGTGTATGTGTGTGGGGGGGAGGGGAGGCCGGGCCAGCCTTGGCCTCCCTGCACCCCCTCCCTTGAGGTTGCCCCCTTCCCCATCCTCTCCCTGGGGGGGCAGCACCCCTCAGGCCTGGGCGGGGCCACGCGAAGGCTCTGCGCGGAGGGAGCAGGGAATGGGACCCTGGCAGAGGACGGCCGGGCGGCAGCCCGGTGGGAGCCACTTCACGCTGCTTCTGACTGCGGCTGGGGGGGTGGGGGGGGGTGCCCCCAGCCTCACCTTCCCAGAGACGATCTTCTCGTA